ATAAATGTAGCTACTTTTTCATAGTTTTATGTAAATAATCTGTTGCTGTTCCGATTCCCTTTACTTTCGAGAGACAATGTATTTTTAATTTTAGAAATTTAACAATCCTGAAAACTCCCTCTATCAGAGTTCTCAAAAGTCCCCTTCCCCCTTTTTTTCTTTTGAACCGTGATACTTAGACTGATGAAATTTGGAGGCTGAAAATGAACTATTGTAAGCTTCTCTAACAGTGGTAATAGGTGACGTAATAAGCGTCGGTGACGTCACCAGGCAACTGAAACCAATAATATTAAATGGGACCTTATAATTTTGAATGAAGAGCAATCTAAGTTTCAGTTGTTTATATAACATATATTATTTTCAATAACATCCGAATACTAGATCAGTTACAATTCCTCAATAAAAATCCTTAAAATTTAAGCCTATTTTCAAAAGTAAGAATCCCCTTAATAAATACACTCTTACCAATCGGTCATTGTGACCGCCAGATTTAAGGCGCTGTTTTTTTAGTCCGATGCCCTGAATATGTCATTTTTACGATGAATTATCACATGTCAGACAAAAATTACCCATGACAGTGAATTTAATGGTCGAATATTGCAATGTCTGACCAAAATATTCCACTGCATTGCCAGTTCGACCATAATAACATATGATAAAATCACATACAAACTAAGTTTTAGGATAATGGATTTTTAACTTAGCAGTCTAAAAGACAAGTAAAGTTGATTGCTTATGTGTTACTTTCATGAAGTGCACGTTTTAGTTGAATTCAAGGGAAAGTTTTGTCATAAGTTATTTCAACATATTTAAGAATTAATTGTTACATATAAGTACTAACTTTGATTAATAAGCCACATGTAAATAATTTGACATCTTGTGTAGATCGTTACTGTAAAAATCTGAATAGGAAAAATGAATAACACAGTTGTAAATATGAATGAAATTGAAACATTATTTGTAAGAAAAGTTATAACTTTCTTTTGTATACAACTGTTAAGTTTATTTGTTTATTTATTTATTTATTTACCGACTGTCACGTTAAAGAATTTCCTGAAGATGAAAATGGGTAATATCGCGCAGATACACGGTTAAATAACTACAATACATATGTTCTCGATAATGTGATCTCAGTCAGATGATATCATTAACTAACCACATTAAATAAATATTAAAAATCTGATGTGTCCAACACATGACTTTCCTATCTAGTTATTATAGGCATTTTCCGGTTATTTTGTACAACCTATTGCAGCATCTCTATAAATGTTTAGAGGATAAACTAAATATATACATTTTACACATACATCTACCTCGAAACATTTTTTTATAGATATTCATTGAAAACGAAAATACAGAAAAATTTAAATTTAGCACTTTTCCATTACGGTCCATTTTAGAAAAATCATGTATAAACAAAAATTATAGAAATCGATATCGCAAACAACTTTTAGTTCAACAATTTTCATAAAAATAAGAATTTTGCACATTTTGTCAAATTTCTCGAATACGGACCATTTCAGAAAATTTTGACATAAAGCAAAAATTATAGATAAAAATATTAGAAGTAACTTTTATTTGAACAATTTTCTTCTCCAAACATAAATAACAGATATATTCCATAAAATATAAAAACGGCCTCCCATAAAGTACCCCCCCAGATGTTCCGACTTTGTCCAAAATCTAATCATTTCACGTCAGGCCGAAATAAACCTTAAGTTTAAAATTTAATGTTTTTTCCTTTATCCGTTTTTGAGTTTTCTTCAAATTTCGAAATTTACACATTTTCTCAAATATCTCGAATACGGTCCATTTTAGAGAAATTATGTATAGGACAAAAATTATAGAGAATTATATTACAAACAACTTTTATTTGAACAATTTTTAAAAAAATATATTTTTTTTACATTTTGTCAAATTTCTCGAATACGGACCATTTTAAGAAAATTTTGCATGAAACAAAAATTATAGATAATTATATTAGAAGTAACTTTTATTTGAAGAATTTTCTTCTCCAAACGTAAATAACAGATATATTTCATAAAATATAAAAATGACCACCCATAAAGTACCCCCCCAGATGTTCCGACTCTGCCCAAAATCTAATCAGCTCATTGGACGCTGAAACAAAGCTTAAGTTTAAAATTTGGTGTTTTTCTGTGTATCGGTTCATGAGTTATGCGTTATACAGACACACACACAGACACACACACACACACACAGACATCATCGCGAAAATAGTCAAAACGGATTCAGGGGACCTCAAAACGTAAAAATCCGTCGAAAACTCGAGGTCGAAAAAAATCATGATTCCTATACTTTCCTTATATCTGTATACAGATAGGAAAGTAAAAAACAAAAAAAAAACTCGGGAAAATATATTAAATAGATCGGGGAAATAATGAATAAACCACAGAGACGAAATAAGTTAAATCGACTTAAATGAGTAACTCAATCACAATAAACATAGGAGATAAATCAGCGTATGTAAATATCGAGTGGCACAAAATTGATCGAAAACATTTAATTAAATGCATTTGATAGAAAAAACATTTTATCGAGTAACAATTGATCTAAAATAGGTTTGATAGAAAAAGCAATTCATCGAAAAACCAAATAATATGCATAAAATGAGAAAAAATAAAAAACTCAACTAATTAACTTAACCTGTGCGGCCTAGAGCCATGGCTGGTTGCTTTGCATTTTTTTTTATGCAATCTTCGATGGCTGGTGTCGCACAGGGTTAGTTAAATTTGTTAATTTTATTTTTAAACCAGATAAGAATTGAAAACAAAAAAAAATTATAAAATCTTTACAAAGTCTAAAATTAAATAAAGACGCAAAAGAAACAGAAAACGCAAAATCCAAAACTGTCAAATTAAAATTCAAAATTATTAATTACCAATATTTCCTATAAAATATTTTCCAAATCTTAACTGAATAAACGGCGGTAATGTATCAAATATTTATTTCTCAAATTATCGGTGACCGCGATAAACAAAATCAATTATTAAATACAAAATTGTATTAACTGCTATTTCTAACGAAACTACAAAAACGTGAAACAAGTTTTGTTTTTCGAAATTACTGCGTTCGCGCTCACCTTATTCGCAGACTGGTTTTTTCCTCGAAGTCTATTTGGGTAAAAGGATTTGTTTGTTACTTGTTCGGAGTCTTGAAGCAAACGATTCTTATTTTAATCCCAAATGCCCAAAAGTAAATTATCACGTGAATCACGCGCAGATTGTCGGTGGTAGAAGGGACCTCAGCCAAACGGCTGCATTTAAAAGGGTGATGTGACCAATTTTCGATCGCATCAACTGCTACGGTTATTAGCCTCGTGTTCTGTGTAGGTTTTGTTACTGTTTCCCAGCGCCACTTTAGGAACAGCACTGTTAATTAGTACCCAACAGTGAATGGTCGAGTGGGGAATCCTACCAAGGCATCAGAATTAATTTTAAATAATTAAATTAAATTAAAAAATCCCGGCCAACGGGAATAATTATTGTTTCGAAAATTAAATGCAGTAGCAATTTTCTTGGTCACATATTTTAATGTAGTTTATGCTTCATTTTAAAATGAAAATTTTAACATAAAAATTACCGTAAAAATGACATATTCAAGTCGTCGAACTGAAAAAAAGGCGCTTTAAATGGTGGTCACTATGACGGATTAGATGAGGGTATTAAACAAACCTGCGAAAATTAATTAGGTGCCAATTAGAAAACATAACCTCGTTATTCTGACATGTTGCAGCCGGTGAACTCATCGATCGCCTGCTGAATTCTGTCAGTCAAGCCTTGTTTCGTGTTTATTATCAAATGATCTTTAATTTGCTCTGCAAAAGAATTATGTTGTCATTGTATTACATAACTTCATATAATCAACATATTCAGGCGTCGCGCAGTAAAAAACGTTATGTTTCCGTGAATTTTTGCAGGGGAAAAGTGTGGTAGACTCGTAAAAATGAAGCCACTTACGAAGTTTTAAATATGTGGTAATCGAGCAAAGCAGGGGTGAACGTACTGTGGACTATTATGTTAATGAGTTGATTGGGTAATGTTTTTGTAATTTTATAACTTAAATTAGTGTAAATAGAGCAAATAATTCGTTTACAATGATTTTTGTGCTTTGCTAGTTATAGTTATAAAAGTCTTTTTTTTAACAAGCTGATTAGTGTAGTTTATTCCTACATACAAAATGGCAAAAAATACAAAATGCCAAAAAACACTAATTAGTTGTAAGTAGCTTGTATCTTCATTAATACAATATAGTTCTATTAAGACTTTTTGCTGAAATGAAATTAGGTTTAAGATATTTTATGTGCTAATTCTGGACCATTTTTAGTAAAGATTGTGTTTAATTTATCTGTAAGATACTGAGATTTTTGTAGTACCTATTACCTAGAGTTTTATTTTGTGTGACTATTTGAGATTATGTTTTCAGGTTTTTGGTTCAGATTTTTATTATTATGCACAAACGAATTCATTATTTCCCATTTAAAATTAATTCTTCCTAGTAACATAGCAAAATAAAAAAAATATATATTACCTTACATTTTCTAAACTTTCTACATACTTCGACTATTTTGACGGTTAGATAACATAACACTGCATGGTTATTGTGACTGCATAAATGATCGATGTGCATCGGTTTTTGTATTAAAAAGTCTTTTAAGATTTACTATTGATAAAAAACAAAATAGTAAATTATTAAATAATCAAAAAATATGTTCCAGAGTGAAATGTACGTTAATTATTTATTTATTTATTGTCCATCCTTGTTATCTTTTAAAATTTTCAAGTGAGTAGCTAGCTGCGTAAGGATTTGAAATTAGTGTACATTATTTATTGTAGAACTATGCTCCATCAGAAATAAAAATCGACTGATCCCTGTATTTTAAGTATAGTTTTAATCTTGAAATTGTAGGACATAAAAAATACTTCTTCAGAAATATCCTTTAACAATTTCAGTGTAATTATTATAAAACTTATTTTCAGATAATGATGATAAGTCTAATAATGAAGCAAATTCTTCAGTTCTCCAACAACCACCAATTTGTAGTGCCTTACAAGTGTTTAGTTCAATGGGTGGTCTAGCTTTGCTTGCCCAACACCTACCTACGGTTTACCCTGAAGCAATAAGATCCGCAATTCTAGAGAAAGCCCCACCAGATACATCAGACTCTGAATGGATTAAAGTAGATGGTAAATCATTCTTCAAAAATAATCTTTATAAAGATTTTACAATGATTGTGTAGGATTATTTATTACAGTTCTCTGTTACAATATCTTTTGTCTTTTTAAGAATCGGATGAAGCATATGAAGACATTTTAGAAGATACCATTGGGACCAATTCACCCACAAAATCATCAATTCTCATTTCTCATGTGCCACCCCATTCTTTAACTGCTTTTGGACTGTTCTTAAGGTTACCAGGGTACGCGGAGGTACTTCTAAAAGATATGAAGAAAGCATTATATCTTCTCCGACTGACTTTAGGTGTTACTGATGATGGTGAAGGTAAATCTTTTATGCATATGGATAAAAGCTTTGTGGAACATTTATTAAGCAATGTGTATTGTTAATTTGAATTGTTTTCTAGGTGGAGATATTTTTAACTCTCCTATATCAGATTCTTTACCTACACTTCCTTTTGAAGTTCTAAAAAAGTTGTACGATGGGACGCCGCTTAGTACTGATGATGGACGACTCTTAAGACGAATTAGTATCAATATAGGAGTAGTACATTTACTTTTGGGATGTATCGGTATCTTTTCTCACCAATTTAACGCAAATGGTACAGATAAAGATGGTCAAAATTCTAAAAACAAAGAAGATAAATCTCAGTTATATTGGGCCAAAGGTAATTTTCTATTAAAATTTTTGAAAATTTATAATCCGCAAATCTATGGTATTTTAGGTACAGGTTTTGGTACGGGTTCCACTCAACAGAGTTGGAATGTTGAACAGGCTCTGTTAAAGCAAAAAAGCGAAGAAGAGCATGTTACTGTTCTTCTGCAAGTTTTAGCGAGTTACATTAATCCAAACGATAATGCTGAGGATGAATTGACAGAGAGCGTTCTACCTCAAGGTTTTAATGACTTGCTAACACAAAGTGCATTATTGCCTGCTATTTGTTCGTATTTAAGAAATGATTCAGGTAATTGTTTGATTTTTAGTTTACATTTAATGTCTTATACAAAAGTGTTTTACCGAATTTTCGAAAATTAATAAAGAAATCAGTAAACTATGGCTATTTATGCAACCAGTTACGAAATGCTTTATTTTATGTAGAGTGAATATTTGCGGGATGAGCAGAGCAAGGTCCTGCAACATGAACGAGTTAAATAAAAGTACATTTCTTAATTTGTTACATACGATATTTTTTCTAATTTTGACTAGATTATTTATAAAATTGTGTTTTGGTTAAAAATTTTTGACATTTAGGTAACCATTATTACTTTTTTGTATTTTTAGTTGCATATGCATAACTTCATTCAACCATATTAATTTATTAACTGACTTCAAAAAAGGAGGAAGTCTCAGAGGAAGTTCTCAATTTGTTGAAAATGTTGAAATATATATTATTTTTATGTATTGTCAACTATAATTCTTTACAACGTTGTCCAATTTCAATTATTTTTTTGTTAGAAAGGGGGTACTTCACTGATGGTCCCATATAAATTTGGTCAAGATCTAATAATTGGGTCCATGAGAATATCATCAAACTTCATTTTTTGTGCATGTTTGTCTGATTTCCATGATTCTTTTTTGTTAGAAAGGGGGTACCTTAGGGGTGGTCCCATATAAATTTGGTCAAGATCTGGTGATGGCATCTGCACGATTTTGAAGTCTGTTTTTTTAAATTACTTTTATTAGCAAATAATAACTCTTGATACATTTTTCTTCTTTCTTAAATCGAACGTAAGAGTAAAGCTTCATTGGTTGAGTTGATTCATCGAGTTGAATGGAAAATTTGCACAGTTTTAAGTGTTTACATAATGATATTTAAACATCTTTTGCCATTTCATATATTCTTTGCACTGAATTATTACTGACAGGAACTTTTTGGGGATGCCTGACGGTGTTTTAGGATGAAGAACAGTTTTTATTACTTTGACTGCCGGAAAAATAATTCCTCACTAATTGTGTGTGGTTTTCCAGCTTTTGCGATTAACAAAGAAATGTTATATGAGGCTCGTAGTCCATCATCATCATCTTGTTTCTCAACGAGTAGTGTGTTTATATTGCTTGTTAAAGTTATTTATTTTTTAAGAAAGTTGGTTTATTTTGTCATAGAAAATAAGGACCGAAACAACATTATTAGGTTATTCTATTGTTATAAGTCAACTTGACCTTTCAATAATAATGTAGTTATATATTGATTATAAACCAAAAAATTGTTTATTTTTATTTGTTTTCTCTTCGCGACTGGTGTCATAATGAATTTTTAATAACCAATTTCATAATGTTCAACATTATACAACTGGTTGCGAAAAGTAGATCATTTTGATACTTGCTGCGATTACAAAAAAAATGTCATTTTATATGTCAAAATTAGAAAAATATATTCATACAGGTTTTCTCATAATATTGTAACAATCCGGTTTTCGAAAGGTGTTTAGTAATGCATTACTCTTAGATTTAACAGATAACATCATAAGATCCGTGGATGAAGGAAAGGCTACTGACTTTTCTAATGCTTTTGACACTATAGATAATCAGCTTCTTTGTGCCAAACTCAAATATTTTGATTTCGATGAAATTTCATTAAGATTGTTCAAGTTTTATTTAAGTAACCGCTATCAAAAAGTAACGTTAGAGAAATCGTCTTACTTCACGTGTGTACCCCAAGGCTCTGTACTTGGTCCCCTTTTATTTTAAATCTTTGTTTCAGACATTTATAAATTACACGCAATTATATTATTTCTTTGAGCTACGTGGGGTAGATATAGTTTCACAAAACATAAATTTAGATCTAAATGGTGTATACATATTTTCTATGAGTCATAACCTTAAATGAAATGCCAGTAAATGTCATACAATATTATTTTGTTCTTCAAATACAGAGCATAATGTTCAACACAACCGTTATTCATTTAAAATGAACCTCTAAAATCATGTTTATCAATGACTGCAAACTAAGGTTTCAGGACTGTTTAGATTCTAGTCAAAAAATCGTATCTGGTTATCAGTCAATTATACAGGAATCGAAGTATTTTGAGTTTCAAGCTATGTAAGATGCTCTGTGAAAGTCTTATATTGTTTATCCTAAATCCTAAGTAACTAAATATAGTTTTCAAAAAATTCAAAACTCTTGTTGTTTTGTATTTGATATTATAAAATATAATAAGAATATCAAGTAAAATTAAAGAACTCGATATAGGAAATTTATTTAAATATCTGATAGTGGCCACGATATTTCGAATTCTTTTTACCTCAACTCCCATATACTTACAAATAACTCTTGATATTTCGCAAAAATCTACACAGGTTACATTTAAGATATCCAAATTATTTTTTAAAAGATATTCATTAACGCCATGTCTACCTAGGCACATTAGGACACGTTTTCTTTTAACATTTTTAAAACAAAATTATAAAAAGTTACAATTAGCTGAGCAATAAATACAGTGCTAAAGTTAATGTTATTATGTTTGTAATTATTTTCTTCAGTTAATTATGTATTTTAAGTTCCACACATTTTTTTTTTTTTTTTTCATTTTGAAAATATTAGATTTTTGGACCTTAATTAATTTTAAGTCATATTCGAGCGATTTCTTTGGTTTAAAAATATTTTCAACAATTTTTAGAACCAGTTTTAATAGCCATAGTCATAGATTTTGAAAGCGCTCAAATAGATGATTTTAAAACAGTGATTAACGATATGCGAGTGTGTAAATATCTAGGAACAGATAATTTTTTGCCTCATATGTCAAAGAGAAGCTCATATAATATTACCAGATTGTTATGAAAAATGAATGGTTGTATTTAGAATCTGACTTAGAATTACAAGTTTTCAAATATTATTAAAAATTATAAACCTTCATAATTATGCATTTTCTATTTTTTTTTTTTTTTTTATAAACCTAATATAAATATTCTTCTTTTATCATTAATTTTTTTATTGTGTATGCTATGCTCGATGATGTTCATTACTATTTTTGACATTAATAACATTTCTATTTCCTTGAACCTTTCTTACTGAAACGTTTCAAAAAGATGCAGCTGGTTTATACCTAATTTAATGTGACGTCATTGTTTGGTAACTTCAATGGGAATAGTTCAAACCAGTTTCAAATCGCATGAAATATAATTAAACCAGTCGACTGCTTGAATATGGTTTTAGTTTAGATGTAACCACAGGATTAACATTTATTAATTCTTAAATAAATTGTGTTTTAAATTTATTATTTTGTCTGCATATTTTAAATATTGGATCCTTTTTATTAATTTTGGTTTATATTATTTAGGTTAAGTTGAGTAGCGTAAGCTAGACTTTGCCTCGTGGGTATTATGGGTATATATATTTTTTTGTTTTGTGTAGACTTTTTGAGAAAGTAGCCGTTCTCATATGGGATTCATAAAAACAAGAATCATTATTTGAACTCTCACTTTTATGACTATGACACTATAACAGGGATTTCCTTATACCAAATTGCTACAGTCTAAAAGCAAAAGAAACTCCCCTTAGTTATTCATACAATAATGTCCCAAAAATCTAAAAGATCTGTCATATAGGGTATCGAAAAAGTCTGGCACCAAGGTATTTTCTTTGAAAAAAATGAATGTATAATTATGATAATGTAGAGTGATGAATGGGATCGTATTCAGCATTTTTTAAAGGTCATGTCAAATTTATGTGACGTCAGCGTTTAGCGTAGCGTACCGTACCGCAACGAAGGTCGAGTGATATATAGAAAATTTTATTTTTTCCTCTTCAAGAATACTAAAAAATTAGCACATTACTAATGTAATACAGTACAAGTCATCACCCTAAAATACCTTGTTGCTAGACTTTTGACTACCCTGTATGTATAGGATCAGAAAAAACTAATAATAATGTAATACAGTCCCATCCATCACCTTACAATTTCATACTTATACATTCATTCGTTTCAAAGAAAAGACCTTGTAGCCAGACTTTTTCGTTACCACATATATAAAGTTTAAAAAACATTGCTTTTATTCAGAAGCTGAATGTTGAAATATAACATTTTAAATTTATTTGCTTTGACGGGATTAGCTGTTGAACTCCTGGATATTGTTTAATAATTTTAATTATTTTGGACTAGGACAATTTTCTGATTATACTAGAATTTTATAAACATAAATAAAAGTTCTTTGGCTATATCGGTCACGAGTTTTTATTTACTAAGCAAAACATGTTTCGGAAAACAAATTTTTCATCTTCTTGTGCAGTCAATATTATAATTTTACAAAAAAAAAAACAATTAAAGATTTTTAAAACATGCGAAACCCCATCTCTTTGTTTCACATCGTGTTTAGATATATTCTAAATATAATTTGGTTTAACAAAATTAGTAGGGAAATAAAAAGAATAATTAAAAAATTTATCAGTGGTGTTACAGTAAAAATTGAAAATCTTATAATTAGTTGATTATATTAAAATAAACATTTGACAAATCTTTCCTCTTTTATTATTTACAGTTTTTTTTTTTAATATGTATAGAAATGTTTAAACTAATTTACCTTTTTTATTTTCAGTGTTAGATATGGCCCGACATATTCCATTGTACAAAGGGGTCCTGCAATTACTAAGAGCGCTGGCTGTCAGTTCTCAGCTGGTTAGCCTGCTCTTGCCGCAAAAGAACAGGGGCAGCGACTCATCGGTTAGTTCCTTATTGAAAAATATGAAGAGTTGTGTAGATACGTACGCTTCTAAGTTAAGGTACAATTTTACCTAAAGATTTAAGTGATGGATTTGCCAAATGTCTCGTTTCAGATTAAATACTAAAAGCAAGACGAAGAACAAGCTGGGCGAACAGTTGGAGGAGCTCGAGCAGGGCGAAGGGCTGGCTACTTTAATGCCAGACATTCAGAACACCGCTAATTTGGTGTCGAGGGTCACAAGTGGTTTAGTTGATTCTGATAGCTCGTACGATAGTGAAAATTCTGTAGATAAGAAAATTGTAGTTTCCTTAGAAGAGCAGTATTTGAAGATTATGAAAAATTTGCAATTTTGTAAGTTTTTGATTTTTTGAAAATTTAAGTTTACATAATATGAATATTATCTGTTAATAATCTATCTAATAATAGTCTACCCTATATATCGCTTCTTGAGGGAAACAATGATCCAAGAGCAAATTTGATACGACACCAGTACGAAAAAATAGTATTTTATCTGGTGAAACAACGACATAAGTTGCAAAAACCTTTTCTTTGCAACAAATGAGCAGTTGCACGTTTTCAACCATCATGTTTAGTTGAATGATAAATATAACAATCAATTATTTTTTCCGTTTTCAGTGGTGACACATAATTCTTTATGTCATAACAAAGTAAGTGCCGTTTTTTAACATTTGTGATACATTTTGTGTTTGATCTCAGTGTGACAATGACGTAAGTGACGATTACATGATTGATTACCTTAACCAACAATTTTCCATCACCAGCTAGTCCAACAAAATCGTAATATGACATTTTCTAAAGGAACAATGACACAATTGGAAGGTTCTTAAATTCTAAGGGCTGTAGAAGTTTTCTTAAAAACAAATACGTGTAAAACTAGACTAAATTTGCTAGATAAAAATGGCCATTCATTATTTCTAGTCTATTCCTTAAGGTTTATACATTGTGGTCCATAATTAACAGATACATTCATTTTCATTGTAATTTACAATAATAATAATAATAATAATACTCTCCCTAATTCACCCCCTTACGAGTGAAATTCAACCCCTGAAGCCGACTGAGCGACTTGTGTAGGGGAAGGGACGGCTATTATTGATGGCACCATTTGACTTACAGTTGAGGAAAACCCCACCCACCATTATTGAAAACGGAAACGCATGGCGATTTTTGTAATCTGGATGTCATATCAGCAGAGATTAACATGGTCTTCTGTAGGATTCGAAGCTGGTGTCTCTTTACATGAATGCGGCGCCGTAGACACCTACGCAACCGTAGTATGAGTAAATCCTGAAATTCTAAAATTACATTTTTTTTAGCATACTTTTTATCTCCCCCCTTCAACCCCCTTGAAATTTTCAAATGGAACAGTGTGTGTGATAGCTCATTTGAAAGGGTTTTTAATTTCATATTCAGCAATATAATAGGGTATTTTGAATATCTACATTTTTAAATGAAAAATATTACATTTTTAATGTCACTAAGTAAACAAAAGAACATGAAACAGTTTTAATCAAATGTTCAATCTGTGCGGGTCGTTGCCTACTGACAATAATGTTGTTGAAATTCTTCTAAAACATTTTGTATTGTTTCTGGGGTTATTTGATTAATTTCTTGCATTATTCTCTCTTTTATGTCATCGACGTTACTTGGACTGTTAATGTAGACCTAAGATTTTAAATAACTCCATTAAAAATAGTCAAGAGGGGTTAAATCTGAAGAACAGTTTCATATCCCCACTGAAGATCTAGAAGAAGCGCGCCTTTATTATTTTTTATTATATTTTCGTTTCTAATCATCTAACTGAAACATACTGTAGAATAGGTTTACAACTGTGTTTACCTCTAAAATCATGACTGTACACTATTTAAGATATTATTTTTTTCTAAATATTTCACAATTTTTTTTTTTAAATATTTCACAAATTGTCTCTAGACTATTTTTTCCAATACTTTCTCAATAGTACATAGCATATTAATTAGTCTAAGAACAGTGGCCTTATTGGAATTAGAAACTTTAGCAATAGCTGTTATAATTGTCACTTTTAAGATTGATGTAATTGTGTTGGTTTATAATCATGTATTTGTAATATTAAGGGCATTGAAATATTATAAAAACATTTTTTTGTTAATTCTACATTTATCAGGACTGCCTTTATTTTTCATGTCAAAAATAATTTCCTTTAATGCTTAAATATCCGGGCTTCGGGTTTGCATTAAAATATTCCGGGTAGATGCCGATATGAAATTAAAGCAGGGGGTGGATCAAAAAACCAAGTGAAGCACAAAAAACACATGAATACTCTTCAATAAAATAGTACAATGGTAATGATCATTTATTTGAAATCATAGAATGATAGATGATTTCACCATAATTATCGAAATCGTGAAAATGTATAGATGATTTCGAAATCATACGATTGTTTGGTGATTTCCGAAACATGGGTACGTTTTGACCTTAGCTGTTTACCCCTCAACTGAGACCGTTTCTACTTTTTTTAAGGCTGATGTTAGTCAATAATGCTGACATTGAAATATGAACCAATGTAAACGCTCGATATGTCGTTATCATGTATTACAATCGAATATACAAACAAGAGTTCGTGTATTCACTTATGTCAAAACTGCGACTATATCTCTACTTCAAAATTTGCCAATTTTCAATTTTGTTATAATTTTCCATCATGCCTCGTTTTAACAATATTACTGCAGAATTAATCGTTAATTTTTTATTTTATGATATAATCTATCTGTATACAATTCGATAATTAAAAATTCTCGAAAATCGATGTATTGCCTAAAAAACATCACTCGACCTGCGGTCTCGTGGTATTTCAGGCAATATATCTCGTATAATCGAAAATTTTCAGTTGTTTAGTTGTATAATATATGAAAATAATTGCATCTAATTTTGAATGTGAATGTAAAAAAATTATGTCTTTCACTCCAAAAAAGAACTTATTCAAAAATATCGCACGGAAAAAATATTGTTAATTTTTATGTTTCAGCCTCATATGAAATGATAACGGAGTTACCCGAAGGTGGTATAAAGTTCGTGGTGTCTCATCATTTCGAAAGTAATGCTAAGACGACTAGTGAGCAATCGCATCCCACTAGAGTGAAGAGGATAGCGCAAGAGGCTGTGACATTATCAACTAGTTTACCTTTAAGTTATAGTAGTTCTGTTTTTGTTAGATATGATAATTCGCGATTGGATGTTATGAAAGTACTAATAACAGGTAAGAATTTTAACATAGAGGTCTACAATAATAAAAAATATGCTTTATTTGCTTATCGAAAACATTTCCAATTTTTTAGCATCTTTACACAAAAAAAATATAATAAAAAAAAATTAATGAAAATATGCAGAAATACAATAATAGTAGATTAATTAGTTATTGATGGACAAATCAGCATCGTAAAATTCCTGTAAAGTTTTTTTTGCATTTAAATTTTTTTTAATTAAGTTTTCTTATTTCCGTGAGAAGTTTATTAAATAACTTTATAACATTACAGATAAAACTTTTGTCAGTCATTGTTAATCGATACTGTGGGATATTTAATAAATTTTTTGACCTATTATCATGAAACACCGCCGATCGGATGTGCTGTTGTCTATTATATCCCTGCCACCCAGAAAAAACTAGCATTGTATTTTTTATATTAACGGTAATAGTAAAATACGTCAAAAATATTCACTAAAAAAATATCTGGAATGTGTAACATAGTTGCCATATTATTACTGACATCTGCCTTTCCTTCAAAGTTGCTGAGATTTTCGTTTGGTTATAGGGCAGCAGGAAAGGTTTCTAGTGGTGGTAAATTCAAATGTTTTACGTAGGTTTACGATAAATATTAATATACATATTTAAAATGTTTAAATGTGAAATGAAGTCATTAATAATTGTTGGTACATTTTCATTACCGTGGCGTGTTACCATTTTGCTAAAGGTTGGTTACCCAGTAGCCATATAAGACTACATTATCAAATAAATACAGGATGGTCGATATGTTAATGGCTCACAGCGTAATGGTATATTCTTGGCTACGAAATAATTTTTTTGGTTTGTTGGTAATAATTTTACCTCTTCATAAACTTGGTAAAAAGTTATTATTTTTGTCAAGGAATATTATGTACCTATAATTAACCCAGTTTTCGCTCAAATAATATTTTTTCTTTCATTACGATATCTATGAATATCCTTTATTATAATGATGCCGTTTAATTTTCATTGTAGAAGGGTTGCTACAGCTGGGTATCTCCGTGTTTTATTACTAAATAAGTAAATTAAGAAAAGCAAATTAAAAAATTACCGCGATCTACTTTATACCGTTTCAGTAGCCACGACGCGCTACGTCCGTGAATACGACGATGCATTTTCATACCTTAACGTATCATGTTCTTTGCATTTTATTGCTTGTTAAAAAAAAAATAAAGTCAATCTAAGAAGGGTATCAGAATGTTAGCTTCAATGTCAGATATAAAATGAATTATGTACATCTCCGATCTGATTTATTAAAAACGTTTAAATACAGTATCCCAAATTTAAGTATTGTAATGTATCTATGAGATAAATGATGTTAAGTATGATATATTATAGTGTTAAACAACAATTATGTATTTTAACCATTTGATTTGCACTAATTGTATGATGAACGGAATTTTTCATTCAAAATATGACAACTCTGTTACATATTCCGGACTTTTTTTACTATTATCAGAAACAACGGCTGTTTCTATGCTTATCGCTTCCCATGTTTAACTTACTAACCATACGCTACATCGAGATAACTGACTCACTGTTCCCAATTATATCCCTTTACGATTTAACCACATGCCAGACAGGAAAAAATAACTGTATATGTTTGCTTTTATAAAATAACTGTTCCTATTCACAATTAATTTATTAATGAATAAGGATAATTTCCAAACCGTAGCAGAATTTTATATAAATAAAAATTTCCTTGGTGTAATCGGTCATAAATTTTATTTTAATGTTTTTAAATTTTGGCTGCACCCGAAGATGGAAATAAAGTTTTTCGAAATATATGTAGTGCGGTGCTAACAATACAAAATAAAATTTATGACCGATTACACCAAGGAAATTTTTATTTATATTAATTATTAATGTTACTCTTTATGGTCGTTTCATATAAATAAATCGCATTTCTTGACAAGATTGCTTATGTATTGCTATTCATTCAGGTATATGTTTATAATAACCGCTGCTGTTAATGTATTTTTTATACCACAAAAAGTAGAATAAATAAGACCATTTTGAGCGGACCAATAATTATAATTACGTTCTCTTCATTGTAATTTTTATAATGTATGCATTTTAGGACCCGCAGACACCCCATACGCGAATGGTTGTTTTGAGTTAGATGTCTTCTTCCCGCCCGATTACCCGTTGTCTCCGATGATGATTAACTTAGAGACAACCGGCCATCACACTGTCAGGTTCAACCCTAACCTTTACAATGACGGCAAAGTGTGCTTATCCGTACTGAACACGTGGCATGGCAGACCGGAAGAAAAGTGGAATGCACAAACGTCTAGTTTCCTGCAAGTTTTGGTTTCCATTCAAAGCTTGATACTAGTTCCAGAACCGTACTTTAATGAGCCAGGTTAGTGTATCTCAAAATATGAAAAAAAGTTCCTGTTGGCTTTTTGTTTTAATCAATTTAAAAGCCAATACATTTTTCATAAAAAAATACTAGATACTATAAATTAAATTCCAATTAATCTGATCTGTTAAAAATGATTTCTCGCATTCGGGATATACAAGGTGATCCACATAAGAATTCAATGCATGGAAATTTTGAGAACTGTTGAATAAAATATAAATGAGATAAAAATAGCCATATTGAAAAAGGCCATAATATAGAATGAACATATATTATCATAAATATTTAGACGGTTTTCGAATTACAATCATTTTACATTATAAATTACACTAAGAATTCATGTCCTTACCTGCGTGAGTACGATTTGCCGGAATCATGTCCGATTGAGGGCAAACTGTGAAAATTTGACATATATGAGGCTTATGACAATCATTTTTCATTTTTGTGAGTTGTTTATTATCTTCGTATTTCTCTTTAGATTTAATACAACAAAAGTCACAAACCTAAGTTATCTTAATGTCATCACATTTAAATCAATTTTCGATCTGACAAATATGCAATGTCTTAAATGTATGATTTGGTATCGGTCATTGCCAAACGTATGAAAGGAAAATTTTATGTATGTCTAAACTGCAGACTTCCAATTTCTTTCTAAATTGAGCAATATTTGTGGTATGCAGGCTTAATACGTTTCTTGCGGAACCATCAGAGTTTATTAATTATTATTAAAAGTAAAAAAGTGCTGGCACGTTGCAATAACGTCAAAATTAACGACCAGTCAAAAGAAGCCTCTCTACATAGTATGGGACCAGATCATTTTAGGATTTCTTGTACGTCAAATTTGGAAATAAAAACTTGAAACTTCCAGTAAATGTTGTCTGTGACCCAAATACATTTTTAGTAGTTGCATAATACATAATTTATTACTTATCTAGATAATTTACTGTGGTATTAAAGATAAACAAATCATTCTTACAGGCCTAGACTTATTTCTTACGCCTTGTCCCTCTTATATGTTCTTACATCTTTTAGGGGCACTATAACTTAATCAGTATATTCAACCCCTTACAAGATCTCTATATTTTGCAGTCTTATGTGGGACACATTGTAGATTAAAATCATTTATCTTGCAAGTTCAAACAATCCAGTTCTATTCACTAGAAAATATTTACTATTTTTTTATTTTATAAAGTAAATAATATTTTTAGGCTATGAACGAGCGAGAGGGACTCAAGCGGGATCAGTCAGCTCTAAAGATTACAATCTCAATATTTGCCAAGCCACTGTTCGGTGGGCAATGTTGGAGCAAATTCTCAACCCATGTCCTTGCTTCAAAGAAATAATCCACACGCATTTCTACATCAAGAAGTTCGAAATTTTAGCTCAGGTTGAGAAGTGGATAAGCGAAGTAGAACTGGAAATAACTAAAGAGAAAAAGATGTCGAGAACCAATAAAAAATCTCCAACCATTACCCTGGAATCGTTCAAAAAAGTCTACCAACAATTAAGGGAAGCCCTGGTAAAACTAAGGCCTCCCTCCGAACTAGAAGAAGAAGATGAAGATCTTCCGACAACTCCAACCAACAACATGGAGGTAGCCATTGACGTGCATCAAGTGGATAACATGGAGAAAGATATGGTGAAAATGGTGAATGATATGTGCGAATGAAGAGAAGGAATATATTGCATTTATTTTTTTCTCTTTTTTACTGTACATTTCGACTTTGTTCCATAGAGCAATATTTTATATACTTTTTGCAAGTTTTAGGACAATTGGTTTTTATTGTGTACTATGATGATTCGCGCAAAAATGAAATTTGGAAGATCGTCGTTATTATAGAAAAGTTACCAAGGTCGTAACTTGTGTCATTGTTGTAGATTAACAGAAACTAAATTATTCCTTTAATTTTAAATTGTTTATAAACAAATATATGTGATGATTTAAAATAAAATGACACTGTTTTAAAGGCACTTTATTTTATTCCGTTTCCGAAACCCACACATATTACTATACTATAATAACCAATTTAACACCACATCGAAAATGGTTTCTAAAATTTTGTTTTTTTTTTTAATTCTCTCTTTGGCAACGTTACAATTATATTAAAATGACAAGCTGAATGACAGCATGACACTAATATTTTGTATCAAGGAATGACAGTTTTCATTTTCTGACTGCATTTAGCTCTTCAAACTTTCTTGAGAAATGTTAAATCTGTTAAAAATAATCTGGTCCATTTAAAGCACTGCTGATTTCTTGGGTACACTGATGCCCGGGAAACAAATACAAATAAACTTCTACCAATGTCCATTTCTACAGCTTTCTGGCGCAAAAAAACCCTAAAGCTACTAAAACCTACAAAATCAGAAATCTACTATTAACCAAATAAATGAAATATGTTCATTTGAGTTCTCCTATAGGGCGAGAGTGCATTTATTAAAAATTGACACAATTCTTTTGAAATTCTAAATGTTTGTACACTTAAAATATCAAATGAATTACTATTCTGGAACGAATTATGTCTCTGCACTGGTATAACCGCATCTTCAAGGTTTTCTGTAAGTCCAATACGAGTATATTCCAAGTAATCCATTTAAAAAAAAATATCCTTTAAATTACAAACGCAAGTAGTTTGCGATTGATAATACCCACTCGCAGTTTTATGCGTATAATCAAGAAGACACAATTTGCTATTTCGTTCGTAATATCGGACTTTACGAGTGACCTTGAAATTTGCGAGTAGTCAAGAATAGGGCTGCAGATATTTATTTATACAAGTTTTCCAATTACTTGGAAAAGCATCACTATCATAAGAAAATTGAAAACAGGATATTATCTAGTTCTTTTGACAGAATTAACTGAATGATAATATACTTATCTACTAATCTTAGGTACTTTTAAAGTGGAATTTGCTGAGAACATTTTGGTAATGCTTTTGCTCTAGCAGATGTGATTAATTGTTCCATCCTTAGTAGGAGCAAGTGCTTGAAAGAGGCTGCAAATGAGGCAGGAAATAACTTTCTGTTTCGTTTGGGCGTTAAGGCATCCTTATTTATTTGTCTATTCTCAAGCATTCAATTTAACTTCAATTGGATTAGATATTTAACTTTCAAGGAGTGACATTTTGTTAACCCAATATTTTTGATTTCTCTCCTAATTTTCAGACCCTTTGTATTCAGTGTATCTTATCTTCCTGTAATTTTCTCTAATCACTGAAATGAACCCTCAACCTTGATCCAGGCCTAATATAATTTATCATCATGTAGAGATTAATTAAAATAATATAGGTACGGAACTTTCAACAGTGATAATATACCTTGGAATAAGTTGGAACAAGGTATAATAGAAACATATCAGGCAGAGGCCGCTCGGCATTTATAAATCTGACTGATGTATGTAGTGGGGCGAGCAAAGTAGAAGTCATATTGATACTAATGGCGGCCTCTCTCTGTTATGTGTATGTTCCTATTAAACTTTGTTCAACTCATTGTAAGGTATAGTTTTCCTGTTAAAAATTCCATCTCATGCAAGCGGTGATAGTTCGTTTAGAGTTACATTTTGCGTTGGGTGTTTTTTGCTTGTTTTTTAAGTCGGCCCGGTAGTAGTTCAATGCGTCACTAGTGACACATCATTTGAAAGTTTTTTTTATTAGTAATATAATGCACCATAACACTAACCTAAATGTTAACATATTTCACTTGCAACAAAATGAAGATATATAACGCTTGGCATTCTATATTATACTCTTCACAGTTTAACCCCCATCTTCAATAAAAAAAATCAGAATAAATACGCTGCATCCCCTTTTCCTGAAGATTTCAATTTGGTATCGTTTTTTATTTCTAAGTTACGACTTTTTTCAATATTTCAACCCCCTTGTCCCCCAATTTTGATTCAGATTTATGGAGCTAAAAATTTCATGTTGAAATCGTTTTTTGGTGTTTGATTTCCTTTTTTTATTTCAGTCCCCCCTTAACTCCCCCATTTTGTTAACAATTGTTTTTTAAATCAATTGGTTTTGTCCCCTTATAGAGCTTGATTTTTGCTAAAAAATTTAAATTGATAATCTTTTTCGTTTTTGAGTTTTTTTTTTAAGTTCAACCCCCCTTAAACCCCCCATGTTTATTATGATTTTTTTTTTAATTTAAAGGGATTTTTTCCCTAAAAATTTGAAGTTGCACATAGATACGAGAGATACATATTCTAAACGCTAACGCGCGAAGTTGAGACAAAGGAAGCGAAAAATATTTGACAATAATAGTACAAAACGTTTTTTACTGATTGTCTGTCAGTTGAAAAGCGTCCAGTGGTGCGTTTGATTTGATCATCGGAGATCTCCGAGCGCTTCAAAAGTGTTTGAATTGACACTCCGAGAGATCCCTAAAGTGTTTGTTTCGCTTTGAAGCGAGAACATAGAGCGAGCTCGATGTTCTCAGAGTAGAAAGATCGAGAAGAGGGAGAAATTTGTCTTTGTCTCTACCTATCTCTTTTTAATTAACTTACAAACAAATTTGAATCTCAAAATTAAAGACCAGACAAGAAGTCAACAAATTACTTAGCCGCTTTTGTCTTAAAGCTAAAATTATTCATCATAAAAAAACACAAAATGTGTGTTTGGAAAATACATTTTTTCTGTCCAGATCTAATCACCAGTAATCACAGTCATGGAGTATGAGAGCGAAGCGGGCATTTGTGGTAAATGCTGCATTTCAGGGCCATTACCCCTTATTATTAAAAGTTTTTCAATTTTCTTTACTTTTTGCTCACTATTTTAACATACAAACCAGAAACAAGAATCACAAAAAAGCGAGGTTATGTTTTTTACTCTGTTTTATTTGATTTGATTCAATGCTCTATTGTGACGTCATCACTTCTCGGTCTTGTCGACGCTCGCTCGATCGAGTTTCAAATCAAACGCCCCTCAGATAGTTTAGCATGAATACGTACTGTACCACTAAATCCTTGATACGTCAGGCCAATTCAAATGGACCAAAAACGGTCTTGGCATTTTACATTTTTAAATTAACTATGGTTTTAAACAGTATTTTATATACTGGTTGTTTTTTATATTCAGTCGGATTTATAATATGTAACGACCGTAAGATAGAATATTTCAGCATATTATTTATATTTTAACAAAAATTATTTTTCTTGTTGGAATAATCTGTTGTAATGCGTACAGCTTTTACAACAAATGCATAAAAAACCCGTATTGTTACAGTGGCCATCAGCAGCAGAGGTCTTAGAAGTCACACAGTTAAAATTTTGTATTTATTTGGGCTAGAACTACAAAAGAATTGAAAGAAAAAAGTAATAGGTAATAAGTTTTTTTTATTTCACAATGTCTAGTATAAAAAGTTATATAGAAAAAGTTAGTATTCATTCTTTCAAACAGTAACATATTTAAATGAATATAAATACAATAGGACTATTGTTTAACAGAGATATTTTTATTTGTATTATGAAACTAATGTTCATATCAACAAACCTATGTTTGATATTTGTAACAACTTTTAAAGGTAACCCTTGTATGATGATAATACGAGTACTCTCTTAATATTTAAAAGAATTAATTAACGGCTTGAAGATATCACAGTTCAAAATTAGTTTTATTGACCATAATACTTTTTTTGTAATAAAAGTATTAGTTCCTGTTTTTCAGTTAACTCCATAAATCAATTGATATTTAAGCGCAGTAAAGTTGCAACATCTGAACAATTAGTGAACTTTCCGCAAAATTGTGTTAAAATGAAATTCAATTTATATTTAAAATGAAACAAGTAAGCTAAAATTTTTGATCCTATGAAGTTATTAAAGTGATAGATAATTACGTTACAAAGATTCATATGTAAACTTTCAATTTCTTTGATGTGATAGATCTGCGTTTTACAATAATAATTTATTCATCCAAAATATACATTACAGTTAAAACAAAATTAAAATACAATAAAAACTAATAAGTTTGGTATGAATAAGCTACTCGATAAGTGATAAATCACTTGTTTCAAGAAGAAAATAAAAGTTATTAAAATAATTAGTTTGTGACTAAAATAGTCACAACTTATTTTACTAGAACTATCAAGCAAAATTTACTATATTTTACACTCTAAAAGTAGGAGATTATAAGTACAATAATTATAAACATATACATAGACATATACACACTAAAATAGAATATAATAAAGTAAAACCAATTAAATAACAATAATAATAACAGACGTGCAGTGTAGGAAAAATTTAATTAAATTATTGACTTCATTGGAAAAATTAACAAAGCCGGACATCATCTACCTATATTTTTTATCACATGAAAATTATACTCATATATCTTTATACAGCCTATAAGTATAAATTTACAATTTTACGGTAAGTATTTTTGATTCTATTAAATCATTTATTATTTGACGGGAAGTATTAAACAATAGATTTTTAATTTGTATTTTAAATGTAGATTTGTGAATAAGATTTTTAATGGATTCGGGCAATTTGTTGTACATTTTAGGTGCAAGGTAAGCAAAGGATCGTTGAGTAATAAGTGATTTACCAACCTGAGGAAGATGATGAAGATTTCTGTTCCGAGTACAATATTAATACATGGCTCGGTTTTGGCACACAAACCTGTAAAACTTCTAATCCGAATTAGAATATAAACTAAGAGAACAGAGAATAAGTGCACCGTTCTACGTTGCATACACAAACCTACTGTTTTACCAAATTTTCCCGATCTTGTTAATACAAATCGGAAAGTTGCTAATAGACTAGGCACTATACAATATAAATAATAGTGGTAATATTAATATGTAAATCAGTTTACAATAAATGGAACCCATAAATTTCTTTAAGTTAAACTCTTGTTGATAAAAATCTATACGGGTCAGTTATTAGTTTAAAATTAATATTGGTACGGATAGGTATAATGCGTGGAGGTATTTCAGTCTTCACTTTCCCTAGACTATAACTTCGATGGTCAGTACATCATGGCATCAAAGAGTCCGACAGTTCAAATCCACGGCGAAGGCTTAGACCGAAAAAAATATACATTAATTACTTTGACAGATTGAAGAGTTGTTAACATGCTGGAATTAATTATTGTTAACTCGAAGGAGTATTCATTAAAAAAAAACTCCCGTGCGATATAAAAGTTAATCAAAAACATATTTATAATTATAAACTATATTTCACTGTATTTCGGATAGTTTTTAATATATATCACTTGTAAACTAGTAGACATTTGTTGGTGTCACCCTCTAGATGGAAAAACTTTAAAAATATTTTTTTTATTCTAAGAAAAATGCTCCTGCGAGCAAAAATAAGATAGGTTCCTCGCTAGCACTTTTTAATATTTTTATTTCTTTTCATTAGAAGATTTTTTTCAAAAGAAATGCATTCAAATTTACAAAAAGTGACTCCAGAGCGGTACGGATTGAGCCTTTACCTGTACTTACATAATTTTTCTTGCACTAAAAATGAAAAATAATCAGTAAAATTTGCATATAATGCCAATCTATTACAGAAATGATTTATGTAAAAATATAAGATGTACAAATAAGTAAAATTTAGTTATCCTTCGTAAAACATCAGTGAAATATATAATATAAATCTTACAGAGGCGCCACTTTCCAGAAGAAAAATCTTGCAGTGCAAGGGTTCCGTGTAGTACCTCACTTTTAAAGTTTTAAGCTATTGCATAGCTTTTACCGCGGGCTTTGTGCGCGGCGACCGAATCAAGAAATTCCGTAACGACCATAACGAAAAAAACCTAACACCCCCCACTCCGACCGGCACAGCGGTGCGGCGTTAAACAATATTAACTTCTCATTTATTCAATAAGAAAAAATCGAAAAAACGAAAAATCAACAGGAATTCCGTAACGAAAATAAACCTAACACCCCCATGCACTCCGACCGGCACAGCGGTGCGGCGTTGAAAGCCGTGCATCGTCTAACGTCGTTTCAGTTCGGCACAGTGTTTGTGTGCGTGCGACTAGACGTATGCGTGTAGACTAGTTGCTAAATAACTGATTCTATCTCTTTTAGACACAATTTCGGAAAAATTGAATTTGAAAATGAATAATGATCCACAAGAATCCACAACAAAATATGGGACCACCACTGACGCGGTATTTTCCAGATATTTAGAGGATATATCAAGTCTCAAACTTATGTTTCTTATTCAGTTACCATAAACCTATAGTTTCAATGATAAAAATTCCTGAATAACCTACATGTATTGTAAGATAATAAAAATATTTTAAACAATATTAACTTCTCATTTATTCCATAAAAGAAAAAAAAATGTTTTCTTATCGGTCACCACCCTCAAAAAGAGTAACTTAAATTGAATTAATATCGAAGAAAAAACTTGAATTAATATCAAAGGAAAAAAATACTGCATAAATAAAATAAATTTATAATTGCATAAGTTGATAAAAAATGCTATGCAATAGCTTTACCGCGGCAGTCCCACCAGTGCCACCAGTATTTTTGTTTTCTTATTTCTAAAAGAAAAAAATATGTACGTATAGGTAAAGGTTGAATCTTTGCTTCTCTGGAACTACTTTTTAAAAATGTAATTTGTTTTTTTTTCTCTTTAAATTGAGAAAATGGTTAAAAAAAGTCTAGATTTGTATTTGTGTCTCCAAAGCATAGATTTGCCGCTTTACCTACATGTACATATTTTCTCTTCGAAAAATTCAAAAATAAACTTAGAAGTGGGGTACTACGAAACCCTTGCATGCTCTGCTTTAAAGCCAAGTAAAATACTCCTCTTAAGAATTTTTTCCCTTCATTTTTATTCAGATTTTTTCAAAACCAATAGACTTTATCCCCTTATGAAGCTTGATTTTTCCTCAAGCTTTCAATTTGATATCGTTTCTTGTTGCTGAGTTAGGATTTTTTTTCAATATTTCAACCCCCTTATGCCCCTATTTTTACTTAGATTTTTTTTTTCAGAATCAATCATTCCCTTGATATCGCTTTTTATTTGATTTTTAAATTTTAATCCTCCTCCACCTTAAACCCCCTTTTTTAATCAGGGGGCTTTTTCTTTTTATAGAGCATGTTTTTTGCTAAAGATTTTAAGTCAATATCATTTTTCGTTACCGCGTTAATATTTTTTTCAATATTTCAACTCCCTTGACCCCCTTTTTATTCAGATTGTTTGTAGAATCCATACTGTTCATTCCCTTATAGAGCTTGATTTTTTACTAAAAATTTTATGTTGATATCGCTTTTGGTGTTTGATTTCTATTTTTTTTTTTTTTATTTCAACCCCCCATTTTAATTAAAATTTTTTCAGAATCAATAGGCTTCATCTTCTTATAGAGCTTGATTTTACTAAAAAAAATTCGATTTGATTTTTTTTAATTTCAACCTCCGTTAACCACCACATTTTTAAACAGATTTTGTTCAAAATCAAATTGTTTCTTCCTCTTATCATTTTTAGTTTTTGAGTAAGGATTTTTTTTAATGTTTAACACCCCTTAACCACCCTATTTTTATTCAGTCTTTGTCCCCTTATAGAGCTTAATTTTTCCTGAAATTTTCAAATTGATATCGTTTTCCGTTTTTAACTTATCGTGCGGACAAAAAACGTGCCAGCCGACGAACGGACGAAGCGAATGTATAATACTCTTCACAGACTACTGTGTGAATAGTATAATAAAGCAACCAGTTTTTCATTTTAAATTTATTTATTTAAGATATATTATGTAGTCCATTGAATTACAATTTTCAATATGTTATTTCCCTAGAGGGCACTAAAATCAAAAGTAAAAGCAATGAAAGCGTCATACAACCCCTTTTCTATTTAAAACAAAGTGTGGGAAATCATGTATAGGACCAAAATTATAGAGAATGATATCACAAGCAACTTTATCATGAATTCTATACTTTCCTTAACTGTATTTAGAAAATAAAATAAAAATGCCTGCGACTGTATTTTCTTAGGCAACCCATTTGTGGTATATTTATAAACATATTTTATTTAATAAAAAAAACTTTTATCCGTTAAACAAATGGGTTAGGGTCGACCTTACCTCATCCGGTACTAAAAGGGGAGGTAAATTTTTAGATATAAAAATTGAGGTGTCCGAACATTTTTCTCTACTTTTCAAAATAAACAAATTCACAAGAGGGCGACTCTTATTTTATTGAAAATCATATTATAAAGGTTAGTCACAACTTTAAAACTTATCACTATAGGTTAATAGTAACAAAGATGTACATAAAAGCAAAATACCAAATAAATAAAAGTAATTTTAAAAAATAAATACAAATGAATAGTACAAATTTTTAAAAGCAAATAAGTGAAACTTCTTACGAAAAATGATATTTCTCGATGTCCCGACAGCCTAAGGGAAGACTGCTTTTCTCAAGGACAGTTTTAATGACCTGTTAACGAGTCAGTTCCACATGCAATCTGGTGATATTAGTAGATGAGAACCATACCAGAAATGTATAAAAAGAGGTTCTCAATTAGATTAGGTATATTTAAATATTGTGTGTGTGATTAGATTTCCCTTGGCTACAGATACTAAGTCCATTCACCAGCCTAAATATTAAAATATTAGATACTATACTTAACTCTAATCTATAATACTATCACATACATATCATGAACCCTAAAAAACATATGATCCTTCTACTTTTTGGGAAGTCATGCATTTTTTATATAAAATACATGACTCTACACATGCAACAGCTAGTAACCAATAAAATAATGAACATATTCCTAAAGTTCTATTTTTTATTTATTATTTAATAACAAGAATTTATATTTACAAACAGAATAAAAAATTTATTTAGTAGATGTCCTAGTACGTTTGTTCCAAGAAAAGTTGATACCATAACTTTTCGGTTTGATTTTTTTCTCCAAACTACTCTTCTGAACAAACCACTGCCAACCATTTCTCTCACAGTATTCAATAGCCTCATCTTTAGATGAAAAGTCTACTTGCATGTTAGAAAGGGGATCACCACTAAAAATTAATTGTTTTGTTACAAGTACCTATTTAGTCATGATTAAGAAAAAAAAAGATTTAATTTATAAAAATTTTCAGTAATAAATATGGAACTAACAAAGAATAGAATAGAAAAACTTTATTTACAAGTATAAGTACATAAAAATGAATGGTGTCATATACAACCAAAATAAAATGGTTGCAATATGGAATATACAATAAAATACTAAAAACTTGTAATAGTTAACTTGAAAACAAATAATAAATTAACTTAAAAACAAATATTTATTTTAGTGACACATAAGTAAATTGGCAGTAAATAAAAACGGAAAACAACTAACAACAAGCAACAAACAAATGAAAATGCATTGATTTTGTTGGGGGCTGCTAAAGCACTATAAATGGTTAAAAACTCATTTAGTTCCAGAAATTCTCTTACTGTGTAAGGTTCTAAATTTAAGATTAAATCAGAAATTTACGTTTTCACTTGAGATGTACCAATGAAAATTTGACTCTCAAACAATGAATAACACAAGCTTTATTATTCCAGGCTAATTTCATTCTTAAAATTCCACCCCTATAATATTCTTACTTAGCATGAGTTTAGGTGGTATGTTGATCTACTCTATGAATTTGTCAAGTTTTATTTAGAATATTCTACATTCAAAATTACTTACCTTGAACACCATCCCATTAGTGGATTTTCCCATCTTTCTCTTGCATCAAAATCAATCTGCCAGTGACCAATATTACTGGTACCGCTTTGCATACAATTTTTAGGTGGTTCATATATTCTTACTCTACGTTCCCTAATATGTTCTTCAGGAACACCACTTATGGGAGCTAGGTTGGTCTAAAAATATTTTAGTTAAGAACTATTTTATTTTACAGTAATTGAATATGCCTACTGTTCCTTCAACAGTGATGAGTTCTTGCATTTTTTTCTTGTGTTCTATTTCATCAGGGTTTAAAAGAGCAATATCGTTTTTAATTGTAGGTTCTACTTGTCTTGGTGCAGAAGTGGAGAAAGCTCGGGCCGCCCTAGAAATACGAATAAGTAACTACTATAATAATTTTAGAAATATCTGACATTACCAGTTTGAACTAATTGAACATTTTGAGAGGTTTTTAAGCCTCAATAAATTAGACGACATTCTGTTATTTAACACTTGCTTACCAGTCCAAAATATCTGGGGAATTTTAATTTTTGAAATTAAAAGTAAATAAACGTCAAAACGTGGTCTTGATCAGAATATGGTCTCGGCTACTTTGGTGTGAATATTCTACTTTTTTAATAATTTTGGACTAAAGTAAACGAAGCCATCAAACAGGTTAATAGATATTTAAATTAGGAAAGGACCTAATAATAGAATGAAACAAAAAAGATGTGGAAGAATATATAATCTAACCTAAATCTGTGCCTAAATCAAAATCAATTTAAATTATTTACTCATTCTTTCATTTTTAAATAAATGTCTGGTGTGGGATTATCATGGCTGGACAAATATTAAATGTAACAAAAACATTTCAGAAACTTACAATATCGTCTAGGTGCAAATTAGTTGGTACTATAATAAATCCCTTCAAAGAACATGAACTGCAAGTTTTAAATTCCAGCTCAACTAGAAACACCAATTTTTTTAATAAGCGTAAGTATCAATGTATTAATTCGAAACCTACCTGAACATTTTTACAAAAATTCCTTTTTGTAGTTCCTGCCCACGACTTATGGAAAGGTATCACATCAGTAAGTAATGCTGGCAAAAAAAGAGGTCGTGGTAAGAATGTCTCTAAATCTAAGATTAAAGATTTAAATAGAGGACAAGTGATAGGTCTTGGAAAAGCAAATATCATTTGGCCAGGTTTGTCTGCTCCTATAATCAGAGGAAAAGAATTGGTCGAACAACATCAATTACCAGAAGATCCTGAAAGGGAAAAGAAACTTGTTCAACTTAGGGATCAGATGGGTATTGTTAAGAGACAGAAGTTGAGTCCAATAGAAAGAGGTTGGTCTGGATCCAAAATGCCTGGAAGGAGTATTGGAGGTCCTGATCCTATTGGAGAAGGTAGCTATCTTCTATATTTAGTAGTAGTAGTATTAAGAAATAATTATTTTTGGGAAATGTTTGAAACATTCTCAATTTTAATTTTTTTTTCAAATAATTGTAAAAAAGAACTCAAACAACACAAAAATTAAACTGATTTCTTTGGATTTTCATGCAATTCAAAATGAATATGTTTTTACTAAAGAAGAATAATTCTTTAGTATAATTTAAACTAAAAATGGGTGTAATAATTCCAAGGATAAACAACTACAAGACTAATTTTGTTTACAAGAATCGAATTGCAAACATTCACAGTGTCATCCATGTAGTTGTCAAATAATTATGAGTGAGTATGGAAGAGTATTGTTGCAAGGATTGTTTATGGCTATAATTCGGCATCTGTATTGTGTAATGACTAAACACAAAATTACCTTAAGGAAGTATAGCAGGGACAGAAGTCAGAAAGACTTTTCGCACTTGTCCCACTTGAAATTGACAGTTTTGCGGTGGAGCTAAACGAAGTGGAGATACATTGGTGTACAAAATTTAATAATTATTTATAGCCCATAAATACATTCAATTGTCAGGTTCCACCAGTAACAATTTAAAAATACTTATTCTATGAAAGGGGGCGTCCATTAATTACGTGAGGTGTTCAAGGGGGGAGGGGATCAAGCTAAATCTTTCCAAATCTCACTTGGGGGAGAGGGGGTCTTTGTAAATCCGACGTATTTTTTTTTCTAGTAGAAAAATGTGTAAAATTGCGTGAAAATTAAATTAAAGAATGTTTCTAGAAATTTTTAGTCTTAAATAAAAGTAATAAAACATATTGTGTTTTTTTTTTTTTTAATAATCCAACGCATTTACACACAAAACACAAATTTTGAAAAATATCACGAGAGATTAGGGGAGGGGGGAGGGAGTTGAGGAAAATCTTACGAAATCTTAGCAGGGGGGCGAGGGGATCAAAAAATCCTCAAAAATACTTCACGTAATTAATGGACGCCCCCAAACGACACTGGCAGATAAACATTTCCCCTGAAATTCTTGAAGTCGTACGTGGCTTGACATTTACCCTCTCTCTACCTACCAAAAGCCTTTCCAACTTCTGCCCTTGCTGCATATTTGCATTCTTAATGCCAGTTATTACCAGTTTAATGTATTTTTTCAACTATTATAATTGTATAGTGTTTTTCATTTTGAAGTGTGACAGCAGTGTAAAGCAAACGTAGTATACCTAAATACTGATTCATTCATAAAACGCATTTTCGCTCTTCAGATAAACATACTCGCTCAAACCATCCCCGCTCAAATTAGCAGCTGTCTCCTTCTTTCTAATGTGGCAGCCAATGCAACAGCTCTGTCTGCATATTTATAAACACAATTTGAATGTTTGCAATAAAAAGGTCTTAAATTATGAATGGACTGGATTTATTTTTATTTGATTTAAGATTTATCTATACATTTTATAACTTTGGTGTTTAAATTTTAACCCTCCTTTCTATTCAATATTCCATCAATTTAATTTTGTGTTATTATTTTATAGCCAATGGCAACAACTAAAAGTGAATTAAAATTAAGCCCAACACAGCTTTAAAAAAAAAGAATAATATTTGACGTATAATCATTACTAAATTTATTACTGGCTTAAAATTAAAAATAACATCCAGTTATTTTTATTACCTAGGGTTTATTTTAACCAAAGTTTTACAGAATAGACCCCTAAATCCTTTAAAGAATGAAAAATAAGCACCTAGGACTTGGATTAGTCTAGTAGTTTTTTATCGTTGAATAAATCACACAAACACCAATTCATACAAGATGAAGTGATTTAACTATTATGACATAATTAAATAATTTGTTTTAGATACTTTTGAAGGTTTTGACACAAAAGTACTGGAACTCAAAACTGTATTTAACATGAAGGGTAACTTAGGACGAAAAAGAAGACAGTCTGCTTTAGTTGTTACAGGAAATGGAAAGGGCTTGGCTGGTTTTGCGTTGGCAAAAGGTAATGAAGCGAGAATAGCTCTAAGAAAGGCAAAGAACCGTTCTGCTCAAAAACTGATGCATATAAAATTATTCAAAAATCACACAGGTAAATATATAAAAAATATAAATATAAAAAATCAAATTAAAATGGGCATTTTTAAAATTATTCTCTACCTATTACAGAAGAATAATTATTTCTGAATATCTCAACTTAATTTTCACTTAAAAATAAAAATGATACTGTTGGCCTTTTTTTTTTAAATAAATAAATCAGACTAATAAGAACAATCAATTAAAATTCACGAGCCTGATAAACTTTGACATATAAAAAACTGTGAATAATAATTAAAGGTCATGTCAATGGGCAGATCACATTCTAAAGTTATGTCAAAGTTTAATTTGCTTATTATTAATTTTAATATTCCGATTATATCTAATTATAGTTAAAGGTAGAGTGTTGAAATTTAATTTCTACCGCTACTGTTTTTCCTTTAAATTTAATTCAATACCTGTTGATGTATAAGCTAAAGGAGTAGTTGTTTTCTGAAGGGAAACGGTCGCTCCTATTTTGTGACATGGCTTCGAGTTTTATTAATGTTATTTTACGTCTTGGTCACATTTGAGTTGGAATCGTTTTCCTTTTTTATAATTATAGCTTTTTATAATGTGAATTTGGAGCATAAAGGCACAAAACATTATTCTAAAATCTCTCGAAAGTTGTAATCTGCTACACAAAAGAGATAGAATGAAGAGTCAAAAGCAAAAACAATGAAGGTCATTAAAAGTCAATTTTCTGTAAATTGAATTTTAAGTTGCAAAAATAAAATACATTTACTTTGTAATTTTAATTTTAAAATAATTTATTAAATCCATTACATTTAGATAGGCTAGTAGAACAACCTTATAGACGTTTCATTGGTGGTAATCCTATCGTGACATCTGTTAGAACAAGTACAGAACTTCTCAAAATGGCCTGTGTGCTATACAGGGTGTCCCGAAATTAGACGGTCATATTTTAACAGCGTAATCTACATACTAAAATAGGAATAAAAGTTTATATAAACATAGGTCCGAAAATGTTTCGTTTTCGAGATACAGGGTGTTACAAGTGAAGTCCTGATGGCACATTTTTGTAAATATTTTCTAAAATTTCTTTAGTTACCGGTTTTCCAAAGTTAAAAAAAATAAAATTTCTGATTCCACAGACCTCCTAATTATTGTTTACACTTTCGAATAAGATAACATCAACTTATCATGAAAATTTTAAATGCTTTTCTCTTGAAAATGGTGGGTCCTAGCAAGATGCAATAAATGTAGCTTTATTATAAAGAAAATATTGGTTTTCCAAATTTTATAATCAAAAATATTAAAAACTATCAACAAAAAAAAACTTAGGGCAATTTTATCCTAAGCCCCCCTAATTTACTCACCTTGAAGATGATCAAAAACTGAAGTTTAGTCCATTAAATAGAGCGTAAAAAGGTAAGTATTTGTACCAAATTTAACTTAATTATCTTTAAACGTTTAGAAAATATTTACAAAAGTATGGCATCAGGACTTTACTAATACTCTGTATCTCGGAAAAGAACCGTTTTCGGACCTATGTTTATAAGAACGTTTACTACTATTTTAGGATGTAGTTTACGCTGTTAAAATATGACCGTCTAATTTCGGGACATATGTATACATAAAGTTTTCTTTATTTTTAAATTCGTTTGGGCAGATTTCCAAATTTAAATTAAGGTGATTACAGCACCCCCTTATAATTTTCGTACAAGGATATCTCAAAAAGTAATTTTTTAAAAAAATTAAAATTTTGGAAAAATATATTAGGCAATAATATCTAGAATATGCATATATTTTATATTTTTAATTCCTTCCAGTTTCCGAGAGAAAAAATTAAAGGGCTTTAAATTTTGAAATATAATGAAAATAAATGCATTCCTCAACAGCACTATTTTTAATATAATCCCCAGAATTAGGCTCTTAATCTTTTGTTAATGATTTTTTAAAATTCGCCGAAATTAGTGGCTAAAACGTCTCGTTAAGTGCTATTTTCTGGTTTAAACTGGTGTAAACTAGTGTAAATCGTTGCAAGAAACGAATGATGACTCATAGTGTACGATATGATAGTTACAGACGCGTTACACCAGAAAGCAGCACTTAACGAGGCGTTTTAGCCACTAATTTCGGCGAATTTAAAAAAATCAATTACAAGAGATTAAGAGCTTAAATTTGGGGATTATATTAAGAATACTGCTATTGAGGAATGCATTTATTTTCATTATGATATTTCAAAATTTAAAGCCCTTTGATTTTTTTCTTGGAAACTGGAAATAATTAAAACTTTAAAATATAAGCATATTCTAGATATTATTGCTTAATTCATTTTTCCAAAATTTTAATTTAAAATAAAAAATACTTTTTGAGATATGCTTGTCCAAAAATTATAAGGGGGTGCTGTAATCACCTTAATATTGTTATATTTTCTAAAATGATAATACATCAAAAGTAATAATACTAGTATATTTTATTTTTTCCCTTTGGAATTATCGCCAATAATGTTTTCTTCTCTATTTAAAAAAACATATTCTGTTTATACTTAAGGCATCTTTGGAAAAAAGCCAAATTCTTTTCTTTCATTTGTGATGTCCCTTTAGAGTTGACTTATTGTTTAATATAACTATGCCTTCTATTGAAATAAGCTTGCTATTTTTAGTTTGTCACGATTTTTTCTCACAATTTGGCTCAACAAAAATTTTTGTATCACAAAAGCCCGAAGGACATGGTTTAGTTTGCCATAGAGCCATAAAAACTATCTGTGAAGTTATTGGAATTAAAAATTTACACGCAAAAGTAGAAGGATCCACCAATGTTGGAAAAGTTATGAAAGCATTTTTCTTGGGATTGATAAGTCAGGTGAGTAAATTCAAACTTCTGAAGCAAATAATAAATATGTCCATTTTACTGGAAATTAAATCGTTTGACACATTTTCATTTTTTTACTTTTAAATTTAGCTTATTACAAATGAAACATAAGTACTGATCGACAGGAATAGCAAAAGCCACGCCAACTTGAGACACAACTAAGAAAACGATTCATGCCATGTGTCAAATCTATTAGTATTATGTAGTTATGCTTATACCATAGACAACCATAAGATTTTTTTAATGTCTAACATGAGAAAGGATTTTTTTTAATTAAATTTTGTTGGAACATTATAGGCTAGCATAAATTGATTGGATCGCGGAATTTTGTTCCAAAATTTTTGTTTGAAGGAATTTTGTTCAAAAGTTATTTAGTTCGAACACATTTTGTTTTAAAGTTATTTAGTTCGAACACATTTTGTTTTAAAGTTATTTAGTTCGAAGACATTTTGTTCGAAAGTAAATTGCTTCTAAAACATTTTGCTCAAAAGTAATTTTCTTCAATTTTTTTTAATCGTAATCATTTTATTCGAATATCTAATAGTTTATGCAATGCGGACTTTTGATTGAATATTTCTTTATGAAAAACGATTTAAAACATTTCTTAATCTAAATGTATAATATATTAATGAAAATAAAAATATTTTCATAATATTCTGTGATTAAAATAATAAAAAAAACCTAACTAATTTACCTAACCTGCACGGCCTGAAGCCATCGCGGGTAGCTTCGCAATTTTTTTTACATAAAATGAGAAAACAAAACTTAACCAATTTACCTAACCTGCATCGCTTGGAAATATCGCGAGTAACTTCACAAACATTCTTTACATAAAATTAGAAAAATTAAAAAAAATTTAACTAATTTTCCTAACCTCTGCACGGCCTGGAGCCATCGCGAGTAGCTTCGCAATAATTTTTTTACATAAAATGTCAAAAATTAAAAAAACTAATTTACCTAACCTGTTCGGCCTGGAACTATTAAACCTTTTCTAAACCAACTTTGACAAAAATTAAATTTCAATAAAAGATAATATTCATCTTTTTTCAATTAGTTTTATTTCAATAAACATTTAGCAGATCAAACAGAGCAATTTTTAAATACATTATATCAAAAGCCCTATTTTCCTACAAATTTGACTTATAGAGCTAAAAAAATACACATACCATAATGTGTATAAATTGTTATTAAAAATAAGCGAGCACTTTCGGATTTACAACGACATGTTCGAAACATTCGAACAAAATGTTTTCAAACTAAATAACTTTCGAACAAAATGTTTTCGAACTAAATAACTTTCGAACAAAATTCCACGACCCAAATTGATTACGTTGTTTATCTTAATGCATTTTTAAAATAGTTTTCCCAGAACTGAACCTGTAATTCTCAATTATTTTGTATTCTGTACCTGGTTTTGACCTGGAAAGTATAAGTTTTTTAAACATAATTCGAATATTTTTATAATATGAATAATACGTATATTTTAATGGCACAATTTTTCATAGTACCTGGTCCGATTTTGGTGTAGAATTCTTCTGATTACACTTTTTATTTTCTAGAAAACACCAGAGGAAATAGCTGAAGAAAAAAAGCTTCATCTTGTGCAAATTTGCAAAGAAAGTAACTACTTTCCGACCGTTATAGCATCTCCTACAGAATGTCGAAAAGCACAAGAGATACCTAAAGATGAAATATTAGATTTCAAACAATACTGCTTTGATGGTAAAGTTGTATTACAAAAAAAGAAATTCCCTCCATTTTATACGAAATACAAATCATATGAAATTTATTTGAAAAAGCAAGAAAAATTTAGAAATCAAGCTGAAGTTAAAAGAAATTTGATTGCAGAATATGGGGAAATTAGAAGTTTTCTGACTGATAAATATCCAGAATGTAGGCAATATAGGAGAGAAAAGAAAGTAGAAGAAAATGAAGAAGCGGAGGCATAGTTAACTTAAGTTGTGTATACAAATTAAATAAATGTTAATAAAATGTTTTAATTTTATTGGGAATGATTAACTTTTTTTATTTCCTCAATGAAAACAATTTAATGTTTTTGTAAAAGTTTATATATTCAATAAACTACATTATTTTAAACCTAAGAAAATAATAAATTACAGTTATTACAATCAATTAAAAGTAACCTCCATGAAGCTCAAAAATTTAAAATTTCCAAATCACAAATATGTAGGTAGAGGTAGATATTTTACAATACTTGCTATTATCAGTATATTTCGCACTGAGTGTTTTAAATTTATAGAATCCCAATCTGTGTAATAAATTTTAGATTTGACGATTAAAAAAAAAAAAAGATATAACAGAATCGAACTTAGTGCAAATAAATATAATAGTTTTTGGTTACATTTTAGCCCATTTATCCCATACAAAAAAATTTTAAACACGTCTAGAAACGTTCCGTTATTGTTAAGTTAAACAATCAATTCCAACTCAAGCCTCTTGTTAAAATGAATAAATGCCTTTCATCTTTTTGTCAAAAAATTTTGTGAAAGGTCAACATGAAATGACATTAATGTTTCATGTTAAGTGAACATTTTTTTATATTTTAACAAAAACAATACATTTCTTTAAACAAAAAATGTATTTAGTTGGACATAAATTACTTTATAATATAAAAATAATTTTATAAATAATCCAAGCCGGCCATATTTTAGTACGTAAAAACACTACCAGGGATTTTTGTACAGCAATTTCGTTTCTAATTCAGATATAACTTATCAAAAATGTTATTAATTCAGAATTGTGCGGCTCTAAAATATGAAAATAATTCATATGATTCGTAAAACGATACCTTTAACGACATCTTACACATATCGGCAACTATTTATAAATTAACAAGTGTCCTCTTACACTTATTGAGTATACTTTTTTAATGTAGCCACTCTGAATATGTCAAAAAATTGCAAAACACGTCAATTTTTATTGAGAGGAAAACCGTGATCTTTATCATATTCTCAACTGTCGTATGTCATTCTCCTCACTGGCGAATCTGTAACCAATAGAATTTAAATAGGGAAAGTATCAAGTATTGAAAACGAGTAATTTTTTTTCACTTTCGCTAAAAAGTTTTAGTCTTGAAAAAACGTGAAACCCAATGGAGAAGTGAATAGGAGTTACTAGAGATCATTAAAAAGTAATGAAAAGTAGGCCTTTCATTTGAGCCTTTTGGCTTTTTTCCCAGAAACTGCTGCTTGATATTCCCTGGGTATAGAAAACGCACAGTATGTTTCTCCATCCTGGATAAATAAAAAAAAAACTTGGAACAATAGCTGCATAATTTAAGTAAAATAATTGAGAAATGACTTACAATTTAATGAGTATTTTAAAAAACATGATCTTTTTTTCTAACAACCAGTTTGGATTTAAAGGGGGCGTAGGAACTGATGACACACTTATTAAAGCAACTGATGGAATTATTTCCCATTATATCAAGTAAAATTGTATTAATATCTTCTTAGTAAAGCATTTGAATCTATGTAACACCCTCCTGGATAGACTAGGACTCGGAAGAAAAAGGCCTGATTAAATCATACCTAAGTAATCGACATGCAACAAGTTCTAATTGGAAATACTCTTGGTAATTTACGTCCTCTCGCATGCGGTGTGCTACAGGGTACAGTGCTTGGGCCTCTTGATTTTTTTCATTAACAATTCCATGGCAACGATATTTCTGACGAAATATATTTTTTTAATTGTGTAAGAGTAGGGACAGTTGTTTGAATATTAGTAGAATTATATTAGGGCCCAAGTATAAACCGATATTTAAGAGATTACATAATTTTCCAGTGGGCTTGGAAATGGCATTTGGAATATTTTTTTTATAAAAAGGGGTAGTTTCCAACTTAAATTTAGCAATTAAGTTGGTTTCTCTAGAATGTATAGTTAATTCAAAATTAATTTCGAATAAATAGCCCCCACCCTCCGTTTTTCTTGTAGCGGCGAGATCGGTACGCTACGTCATCGGCGCCGATCGTCTGAGAGTTAGGTTTATGTAGTAAATATTATTACGCCTTTGCTGTTGTTTGTTCTTCGAAATGTCTGCTCAAAATATCCGGTATAAATATTGTATTGTTTCGAAATGTACAACAAATACGAAAATAACTACACCAAATAAAGTATTAATTAGTGTGCCAAGAGTAGAGAAAACGTGGAAACAGTGGTGTAATGCAATGAAGAGAGACAATAAAAAAAAGTTCTTTTGAGTACATGTAATCGGTTTTGTTGTGATGATCATTTTGAAGTAAATTAATAATACAGTAATATTTTTAGTCATATTAGTACACGTGCTTACTTATAGGGTCTGCTACAGCTGAATTCGAATGTCTTGCAATAAAAGATGTATAAAAATTCATCTGAATAGTTCGTTTTTTAAATTATTTTAAAAAGCCCAACTTGGAACAATGGGCTAGGTACTATTTTATGTTAGGCGGTCCCAGGAAGAGCTACTTAGAGCAAGGAAGTATTTTCAGTGAGTAAACCATTTGAGAGTCCCACACTACTACCCACAGGTAGTGTCCATAAAGGATGTTCACCTCTACAAGAAAAAAAAACCATTTTATATAAATATTAATATAAACCATAGTCATTTTAAAAGCCATTAAAGACCAGATGGATTTTCCATACCTAATATGTATTTCCTTACAATTACTAAGCAATACAAAATATCTATTAGTATTATGTAAAATGTGATTCTCGGTATTTTTTAATAACATAAATATGTAGGTAAATAGTATAGAAATATCCTTTATATTTGCGGCCTATCATCATAAGAAGGCATTATTAATTTAGAGCCTTTTAAAATGGAATTCTCTATTATGACGGTAATAAATGGCTCATCCTTTAAAATGTGCCCAAACGTATGATTTCTAGTGTATAAATAAGGAAATGTAGATTTTTATTAATATTTGATATACTGGGTCTTGCAAAAAACATTTAAAAAATGTTTAAAGCAGATAAAGAATGATGGAAGGGAACATTCTGTTTTTTATTCCCACTTGAAATTGATATGGAAAACTATATGGAGAGGAAGACGATGGGCGGAAACGTAAGACTCGGAAAGAGTGTTTTACCTCATATTTTTAAGTGTCAGCAGTCAGGTTTCGAATCTATCAAACCTGAACGAGATGCTGCAGCAAAAAGATGTCGTGTTGAAATCCTCCAAAATATAGAATCCTCAAATTTCACACACACTTCAAAATGAGTGGGTTGATTGTAGTAGTAGTCAGTGATGCTACTGAAGACGACCCACTCGAGCTCTTTCATGACGGACCTACTCTTGTTCCTAGCAACAATCAAATGTGTCATGTTCTCCAATAAAAAAGTAGTATCATATGTAAATACTTCTCCTATCAAATTTAAACAGACATTTAGTTTGGAAAATCTTGAATTGAGTTGCTCTTCTGAAAATTCTACCGATTGAGAATGAGTCTTCTGCCACAAATTTGGACCATGATGATCAGTATAAAGCATGCATGTTAGAGGGGACCTTAATGTCAATAGATATAGCTCCGAAACTACTTTTAGGTATCCCAAAGGAATCATATTGTTGCTTGCAAATTTTGTCAGATAAAATGCCGGTTCCACATATATATATTCATTTTTTTTTGCATCGACATCTTCGTCATTAGCCTTAATATATACATTCTTATTACACTTATTAATTATATGGCCACCTCCTAACAAAGTAGCTGAACATTTGCCAATAGTATTTAGAAGCAGGTATTTCAGCACATATAAAATCGTTATTTGTGGCAAAATAACTAGCCATTGCCATGGAATCAATTTGGACAAATTGTCTGACTGACCAGGAACGAATCCCTGTTTCATTTTTATTAACAAGTCAACACGTCAACTTGCAAAACCACTCTGTTTGCCGTCAAAATAGCGACTAGCCAGTAACATTTTGTAGAACCAGCCGGCCACTCTCCTACACAATCGGCGCTGATGACGTAACCAAGGTAATTTTTTGGCAGTTTTATTTAACTTCAAACGCTAATAGTGAGAGAATAGCAAGATATTTTGGCAAGACGACCGCCAGTAGAGAATCGAAGAGAACAGTTGACACAAACACCAAAACGACAAGACCTTGTGAAGAGGGGAAGGATTTGTTGCAGTAGCTCTGAAGATCGACATTTATTTATTTACTAATTTAATTTTCATTCTTTAAATTTGTATAGTGTATTGTTATTGTAGTATTGTATTTTAGGTAAAGATAAAATTAAAATAACCAAAAATCTTTCCAGATACTGGTGATCTCAAGACCCTATAAAAAAAACAAAGCTAGTCGAATACGTTTCCTTGTGTCATGGTCTTTCCTTAATTGAAGAGATCATAACAATATATTGATAATTTCCTGTCTATAATTCCACAAATTCTGCTATACTGATGATACTGTTTTGCAAATTAAAGCAACTTCTTGGAAACATGCCTTTAGCAAAGCTGAGTACCTACTAAGCACGTTAAAATGTTTGCTAGATTACAATAGATTTTTCCTAAATTTAGAAAAACTAACTTTATGTGTTTCTCAGTAAATAAAAACAATACTCCATAGAAGAAATAAATTATAATTCATAAGAATAATTGTACAGATAGTAAAACATGTAACAAAATTCACTTGGTTGAACAAAGTATTTAGGTGTACACATTATTGATACACTTTAAATGGAATACAACCGATGTGGCCACCAAGACTACTACAAATTTCACTTACTAAGGCAAACATTAACAAAGAAAAGGGTCATACTCATAATTGTATACAAATCACTGCTTATTTCCTTTGAGCCGGATAATAAAAGCTGTTGCAAATTTCCACAAATAAATCAACTACAGTCGACCCACTTGAAGAATTGTTCAGGTAATTGACAATGCAAAGAACAGTGCATGTCAAGAGTCAGCGACTACACAATGCCATTATTTCTCCAACGTGTAAATGGGGTGCTTAAAAAGAAAATTTTCCATCTTGTATTCTGTATCGTGAATCAAATGTATTAAACCTTGAACAATTACAAATAAAATCTGTCATTAGATGACTATCTCAAATAATAAACTAACTACAACTAAAATTAATCATAGTCAAAATACATGGCACATAATTTCTAACAATGCTATCATATTAGTAACATCTGTCCAGAAAAGTTTATTTTATCACCGCAAAGGTTTACAACATACTACCACCAAATTTTAGAAATAAAAAATACTCGTATGCTCTTATATGGTTTCTTTACACAACTGTTTATTCATACTCTCGTTTGACTTTTTATTATTCTTTTTTAGATAAAAATTAAAATTTTTTTGTTTTTGTAAGATACGAAACGAAAATTCTAAAATCAAAAATGTAAAATATGGAATCTATATCTCAAACACTATTATTGCATATCAGTAAACCGTTAAAACATGTACAATTCAGGCAAATTATTTAAATTCTCTCATGAATACAACGATTTTCCATTTTTACTTTCCTATCTGTATACAGATATAAGGAAAGTATAGGAATCATGATTTTTTTCGACCTCGAGTTTTCGACGGATTTTTACGTTTTGAGGTCCCCTGAATCCGTTTTGACTATTTTCGCGATGATGTCTGTGTGTGTGTGTCGCATAACTCATGAACCGATACACAGAAAAACATCAAATTTTAAACTTAAGCTTTGTTCCAGCGTCCAATGAGCTGATTAGATTTTGGGCAGTCGGAACATCTGGGTGACCATTTTTATATTTTATGGAATATATCTGTTATTTACGTTTGGGAAAGAAAATTCTTCAAATAAAAGTTACTTCTTATATTATTATCTAAAATTTTTATCCTATACATAATTTCTCTAAAATGGACCGTATTCGAGATATTTGACAAAATGTTTAAATTTCGAAATTTGAAGAAAACTCAAAAACGGATAAAGAAAAAAACATTAAATTTTAAACTTAAGTTTTATTTCGGCCTGACGTGAAATGAGTAGATTTTGGACAAAGTCGGAACATCTGGGGGGGGGGGGGGGTACTTTATGGGAGGCCGTTTTTATATTTTATGGAATATATCTGTTATTTATGTTTGGAGAAAACAATTGTTCAAATAAAAGTTACTTCTTATATTATCATCTATAATTTTTGCTTTATGTCAAAATTTCCTGAAATGGTCCGTATTCGAGAAATTTGACAAAATGTGCAAAATTCTGATTTTTATGAAAATTGTTTACTAAAAGTTGTTTGCGATATCGATCTCTATAATTTCTGTTTATACATGATTTTTCTAAAATGGACCGTAATGGAAAAATTGTAGGAAAAGTGCTAAATTTAAATTTTTTAGTATTTTCGTTTTCAATGAATATCTATAGAAAAATGTTTCTAGGTAGATGTATGTGGAAAATATATATATTTAGTTTATCCTCTAAACATTTATAGAGGTGCTGCAATAGGTTGTAAAAATAACCGGAAAAAGCCTGTAATAACTAGATAGGAAAGTCATGTGTTGGACACATCAGATTTTTAAAGTTTATTTTGACATGTCCACTTTTCAGACATACATTCCACCATGTTGATGAGTCCCTAGCTCTCAAGAGCTTGGTCACTCATTCAAACAGTGACTGGCCTCACGTTGCTGAACTGTGATTCACAATCAGTCAAAATTTAGTAATTAGTTTAGTGTCGTGACAAATGTTCTTTATCTGATAGAACAAGTTAATGGCGCGCCCAGTGAATTATTCATTTTTACTTTCCTGTATTCAGTACGGAAAATATAGAAATTATGAATTTTTCGACCTTGAGATTTCTTTGGATTTTTACATTATAGGGTCCCCTAAATCCATTTTGACCATTTTGCGATGACTCCAAAACGGATAAAAAAGCAAAACACCATATTATAAACTTAAGCTTTATCCGTCCTGCAGTAAACTGATTAGATTTTGGGCAATAGTCGGAACATTTTCAGACGCCAATTTCTTACATTTCACTAAAATAGACCGTAATGGAGGAATTTCAGAAAAAGTGCAAAAAACTCATTATTCCGTATTTTCGTTGGCAATCAAGATAGAGGGCATTACTCAATATAACTGATAACTTTACAGGAAAGTCATGTGTTGGACAACATAATTTTGAGATAAAAAAATATGCTTACAAGCATTTTCATATAGACTTTTAGCACCTTTCATTTTTTACCATTTTTTTCCATAAGATCTATAGAAAACGATTTCAGTACCTAAAGCACAGCTCTGAACTAATAAAATTTTTGATAAGCTCTCATTGAAATTGTTTAAAAAATCTTGCGTCCTTTAAAAAAAAATCTTTCTGAATTAAAAGAAATATATAAATATATTTGGTTTATTAATATTACTGAAAACACTAATTCGTTTACTTTACAATTATTTCTTAACTAAAATAAAAATTCAGTAGGTTCATTCATTTAAAATTTTAGTTCAAATTCGCTTATTTTTTGTCTGCCTTATATTCACTATATCCAGATGGTTTAAAGTTTCTGAACCAGTAATATTGTGCAATAAAAAAAAAACTTTTTATTAAAGAATGGAATTTCTAATATTTCTATTTTAACATTCAATAATATTGACTAGAAACAAAATTCGCACTCAACTTGTTTTACTTTAATTTATTTCAAAACAAAAACAGCATTATAAATAAAATAATAGCAGTGTAGTATAAAATTATAGTTTTCAGTATTATAAAATACCTTGATCACGTGAAATTTAACAAAATTAAGTAATATAACAGTAGAAAAAATTACTCTGTTTCAACAGTCTGCTGCTCAAATTTTTGCAATCTTCTCCTCCTTATTACTTCTTCCTGACTTACTTGACTAGGGTCTTGACTCAGGTCTTGACTCATACCTTCCTTGGAAGTGGTTGGTTTGTCAAAAGAACTCTCAACAGAACTTTCCGGGGTTTCAGTGCTTGGACTAGCCTGAGGAGCGTTTGTTGTAGGTGCTACTTTAGCTACTTTTGGGGTGTCAGATTGGTTAGGAGGATTATTCCAACTAGGATTATTTGTTTGGAATACGTTGGGGGGCGGTGTTGCGTTTGGAGCCATTGGGGGAACTTGGTTCGAAAGAAGTACTGTTGTACTATATTGTTGCATCATCACCACTGCGGCGTCCAAGAGCATCTGTTAAAATAATATGTTATGAACTATTTTTAAATAAACAGCTTGAAAGCTATATGAAGTTACCTGAATATTTCTCAAACACTGTATCCTAGCCTCGACGTTTTCTCGTTCATTACCCTCCATCCTCTGCAGTTCTTCAGTTGATAAAGAAGCAAAGTTCTGTGGTGGCATAGGTGGAGGTGGTAAAAATGGAACAAAAGGAAACGGGGGAAAAACGAAAGGAGGTAAATTTGCACCAGTTGGAGGTTGAGGAGGTGGCCCTGTTTGGTCTGCTCCTCCCTCTGCAGGCCTGGCTTGCGGAGGGGGTTGATGATTATCCATATTAGGTGGTTGAAACATTTGGAATGGGTTTTGACCAGCAAAAAATGGGTTCATGAAAGGTGGTTGTGGTGGACGAGGAGGAGCAGCGGCTGCTGGACGGGTGTTATTATTTGTGGGGTTCCTCAAAATGTTCAATCTACAAGTAGGACACGTTTGTTGACGTTGGAACCATGATCTTAAACAAGCAGTATGGAAAATATGGTTGCAGGGAAGTTTTTTTGATGCGGTTGTCATTTCTTCCCGACAAATGATGCAAACGTTATCAGCAGCTTGTAATTCTTCTGGAGTGGCATCTGGATACAAGGTGTTCATGTTGTGAATAGCTCTTCTGGATAATATAACGTCGCTAAATGCTTTTTTGAAATTTCGTATTGTGTAGTACATTGGTCTGAATGCGAAAAGCGGCAAAGTGTAAATTCTACAATAAAAAGTGAAACAAATTTGTAACAAAAATTTCAGCTGTATTTCATAAAAGACTTTTAAAATGTAATTTAAATATTATAACGAAAAATGCTAATGCATATGATGCCATGATTAAAAAAAAAACAAAGGCTTTATGCATTTTAGATCCAAATGGAAATATACATTTTCTAGGACTATAACACAAAATTACACTGCCTCGGCTATTATAGGTAAATTTCCTTATTTAATAATTAGATAACACAAAGTAATAATATCCATATCAGATCCTTATCTGATAACACAAAAGCATTCCCTAATTATTTTAATAAATTCAATGTGCCATGGAATGTCAAACATAAAATAATTATCTAGAAAAGATATGTCATTTTAATTTTGTTACAAAAATTAACTAGGTAGCTGGTAACAGTGTATGTTTGCCATAGAAAAAGTATAGTGTTCAACTTACAAGGAACACTCTTTTCTTACTGGTATGATTTGCAGCATTCACCTGTGGCTCATTCTGTAAATATCATACTCCTATAGTAGAGGAGACCGAGGAAGGCCGACCTTCACCCATCTGATAACCAGATAAGGCATATGTTTTATGAAATTTTATTGATTTATTAACACGCCTATGGAAATTTGCCATTCGAAAAGTGTTCATGGCTTTTTTAATTAAATAAATTTTATTCAATTTGTTTATAACCTTCACTTTTTTGATAATTGAACAAATTTAATTTTAACAGATAGTTTTTAACATGGAAACTATTCCTCAGTAGGCTTGTTTACTTATTTCTGTTCATGGCTACCTAGTAAGCAGGTATGAACAGGTAAAAATTGATATTAGAAGAAAGATAATTTAATTATAGAGAAAGTAAAAGTTGAAAAGTCTTTTGGTAGGTAGAGAGGGGGTAAACGTCAAACCACGTCGGGCGGCTCCGAGAATTTCACAGTAATGTTTACCTGCCAGTGTCGTTTCATAGAATAAGTAATTTTAAATTGTTATCGGCGGAACCGGACAATCGCATTTATTTATGGATTATAAATAATTATTAAACATGTATTATAATATTCAAATTATAATTTTACAAAATTTCAACAGCTATTCACAATTTATTAAACTATTTACTCGAAATTGTTATTAACATCTATAAAATAATTTTGTACGCCAATGTATAGCGTCCACTTCGGTGAGATCCGCTGCCAACCTGTCAATTTATGTGTATAAAGTGAGAGAATGGCAAAAGCATTTCCAACTTTTACTTCTGTTCTACGAAAATAATCGCAGCTGCTATGTTTGTCCTGTTCTATCACACGGACTTCGCACATTTTACTTTCTTTCTCGCACATATTTAATTGGTCCGATTTTAGAACTTTAAAGCATGGCGTTAGTATTCCATGAACAGTTTTTTGCAGGCAAGCCTATACGATTATTTTTGTAATTAAATTCTGATATCAATATAGGTAACTACACCGAAATGTCAACCAATAATAAATATAGTTTAAAAAAACTAAAAAACACGCTTTTAGAGCATATCAAACTAAAAAGTTAAAAATAATTTTTCAAATAAACTTAAAACAATAATAAATGGAAAATACTAGTATTATTATGAAAAAAGCGTCGGGCGCTCGATGTACGAGAAATATGGACAAAGGCCCCACGCTTTTTTCACAATAATACTAGTATTTTCCATTTATTATTGTTTTAAGCTTATTTGAAAAATTATTTTTAACTTTTTAGTTTGATATGCTCTAAAAGCGTGTTTTTTAGTTTTTTTTTAAACTATATTTATTTTTCACTTTTTAGTCCGATATATTATAAAAGCGTGTTTTTTAATTTTTTTTAAACTATATTTATTTTTTACTTTTTAGTTCAATTAATTATTAAAAAAATTGCTAAAAAAACAAACAATTATTTTTTTTTTCAGCCGTGGGCGGGATTAGAACCCACGATCAGTGAGTCTGGCGATCGACAGACCCGCGCCTTAGACCGCTCGGCCAACGAACGAACTTGAGGTAGTGGGATATACTGACAGTAATAAGCCACTTGCTTTTAGTCCAAAGGAGAGTTACAAACATACAGGTGAAGCTAATAAAAGCGTGTTAAAAATTGATATCAGAAGAAAGATAATTTAATTACGAAAATAATCGCAGCTGCTATGTTTGTCCTGTTCTATCACACGGACTTCGCACATTTTACTTTCTTTCTCGCACATATTTAATTGGTCCGATTTTAGAACTTTAAAGCATGGCGTTAGTATTCCATGAACAGTTTTTTGCAGGCAAGCCTATACGATTATTTTTGTAATTAAATTCTGATATCAATTTTTATTGGTTGACATATCGGTGCAGTTACCTATATTGACTTACCTGTTTGCAAGGTAGCTATGAACAGAAATAAGTAAACAACTTTACATACATACATATATTCTCTGTTAAAACAAATAAATCTGGTTGGTTATCAGAAAAGTGAAGGTTATAAAAAAATTGATTAAAATTTATTTAATTAAAAATAGCCATGAACACTTTTCGAGAGGCAAGTTCCCATAGGCGTGTTAATAAATCAATAAAATTTCATAAAAACTATGCCTCATCTGGTTATCAGATGGGTGAAGGTTGACCTCCACAGTTTCTTAAACTACTTGGAAATGACTTGTTCATTAAAAAATAGGTATAATATACACCAGTCTACATTCAAATTTGAAGAACAAGGAAGATATTTCGATGAGTTATCAAATTAGTAAAATTTTAGATTAAGTTGACAAGTTGAGAATTAAGTTTTTTTTGCTTTGAAGTAGGCTACAAATATGAAAAACATTAAGTTATATTTATTTTCTTTTCAATTAACAATGTAAGCCAACTCTAATGCAGCTATATGGAGCTATATAAACAGATATTTTTTACTTGAACTTGAAATTAACTATTAGGTGTTTAAAACACTTGCTGTAGCTTAGAATTACATTGTTTACTTACCTGACCATTATGGCTACAAAAGCGAAATATAAAATAACTTTGATGAGACCCATCACCAGCTCTGTATACAATAAAAACACTGCTTTGTTGTCCCAAGGTGTCTCGCTGTTTAAATCCACGGAATGTAAACCATATTTGATGGCAATATTTATTACAACTGTTAGAAGAATTGCATATTCAAATCCAAAAACCAGTTGCACAGAAGCGCCTTTTGAAACTGTTGACTGGTATGCATGTTGGATAAAGTGGAGATCCAAAGAACCAAGTAAAAGTAGTAAAGACAATACTCTGATATGGAAAAGCCAACTTATAACAGGACTACGTTCCATCTAAAATATTAATAACTTAGTTTTAATATTTTTTGTAAATAACTGCTATTGGCAACAATAAAATATTTATTAAATCTATAATTACCAATAATAAATAATTTTATGAAAATATCTGATGGTCCTAGTCTTGCAAATAAGTTTTAAATGCTATAAATTGCATTTAATCATAATTAATTTTTTTTATTAAAATGATTTGATTAAGGCTTTTAATAATAATAGTGGATATATTGTATGAAGAAATCATTATAATAGAAAGTGGAGTTCACAAACTGTTAGCACAATTTTTTAATAGTACTGGAACTAAGTTATCTAATATAGGTGAGTAATGTAATTTTAAATTTAGAAGGTAGTTTTTGGCTATATTTGGTGTAAAAAATAATTGAATTTAATTCTTTCTGAATACAATTTGAAATGATTGGTTTTTTGTGGTATTTTGTGTAAAAACTGTGGAGAATTTATCAACAAGAAATTCTGCTGTTTCTTCATCTGTGGTACATGTTTCCTTATGAGTTTTGGAAAAGAGGAATACCTACTTTAGTATTTATAATTGAACGAATATATTAATTATGGAATTAATATGCCTTCTTCTGTAGCTTGGCACTCAAAATTCAACTGCCTTAAATAATTTTTGTCTTAAATTTGTTTGAAAGCATTAGTTTTATTAACACTAAGCATTTGGCCTCAAACAAATCAAATATAGGGAAAAACAGGGTTTGTTGTCAAATAGGAGGCTGATGTTTTGTGTGAAACATGTTGGGCCTATGGATAAAATATCCAGTTGGATTTTTTTAAGAAAACTGGAAGTTCAACTCTTTAGGGGTAAAAGCTCAGATACTCATTTATTTTTATGTATTAAATATAAATACCAAAAAATATTTAATTTTAGCCCTAAAAGAACCTTGGATTTTTTATATAATTGGGGTACTTACATAATCCACTCGATCTTCAGCAAGCCAGTGAAAAGACTTCAAAAATAATAGTAATGTGAAAACTGCTACAAACTTTGGATTAAAGTCATCTCTAAATACAGTAAAAGCTAGACAAGTTTCCGTTACAGCATACCAGGATCTTTCCATAAGATGCTAGAAAAACCAAATGAAAATTAATTTAGAAATTTTATTTAAATATTGATAATTATTACCTCAAACTCAGTAGTTCTTAACTGGCCAAAGAATATTTTCCTCATTATCTTTCCAGTTATCCATACACAAATAAAAGCTTGTATGTATATTACCTAGAACGATTATATTAACAGAAAAAGTCTAGTTTGAAGTTCAAAAAAATACTTACAGCCATACTAGGGTTGGATTTTGTAATATACACAACAGATGGGTAAAACTGTTTCTTCTGATAGTATGCATTGGCTATGACTAATAAAGTTAAGGTTAAGCTTAATAATGATATACTTAGGGACCTCATGATATTTTCACATTTAATTAATCGCTCTTAATATTTTTTTAAAAAAATTCCATATATTTTGTTTTCTGATGACTACTTCTGCAAACGTCAAAAGATTACCACGGAACTGTTTTCTATTTGTGGGTGAGAAACAAGAAACAAACCAATCGCTGACATCTACGTCAACTTCAATCTCATTAAACACGTCAATGTCATTGTCATTTTAACCAATCAAATTCAAGTTGTCAAAGCAGGAATATTCGAGATTTTGGATTGCTAAATGGACTGTAGGTGGCGGGTCGTTCGTAAGTGTGGCAAATTAATAAAAGTGTTTTTCTCAGAGAACAATATTTGCGAATATGAAGACTAGATATAAGGAGGCGAATTGGCACTGATTAAATTTCTGTTAGGAGTTACTATTATTTTTTTCATTGTATCCTAATTTAGTAATCGTACATTTTTTATAGGATTCAAAACATTTCGAACAGTGGTAATATGCAATTTTTAGGGCGATAAAGCACTTTCTTGTAATGATGTTGTTTTTGTTAGTTACACTTTTTGGAAAATGATATTTTGAGATATTATGAGAGGATATTAAATGATGTACTGTTATAAAATTAAAAGAAGTAATAAAATTCTATTCTTTGGCATTACCATGAATATAATCATGGGCGAGGCTACACGAGGGCAAGGGGAGGGTCTACCCTCTGGGTTTGTGATTTTGTATTTTTTAAGAAAATTGTTAGTCATAGCTTTCGACTGTATACAGGGTGTTTCCGAACTTGGCGTCCAAATTTGTAGAAGTGGAAGTTTGAGAGCGATTGGCAGATTACATTTTTCTAAAAAAATTATAATAAACAAAATAGAGCCATTATAAAAACAATCAAAGAGCAGGTCCTACCCTGAACGCTTAGCGCAATAGTCCTCAAAAACAGATGTGATTTGCAATTTTGTCGATTCTAAGCGTAGCGCGCGAGTCGAGGCGTTCCATCGCTGTGCAGGACCGTACCTGTTTATAATTTTTAATTATTTTTATTTTAAATATTTTGGAAAAATAAAATCTGCGAATCGGTCTCAAATTATACGAACTACCACCCCTACAAATTTGGACGCCAAGTTCGGAAACACCCTGTATAGCCTGTGGTGTTTTGACCCTGCCTATAAGACTTGTCCCCCTGGATTTTTTTTAACGGCCCGCATTATTAATCTATGGTCCCCATGTTTATATTCGCTAAACTTTCTTTGTATTTATCTTTTAAAAAGGACAAAGGGGTCTATTCTGTAACAATTCCTTTATATTTAACGGCCTTTAAAAATATTTTCTTCTTTACTTCTGTCATTATTTAAACGGATCTTTAAAATACATTAGAGGATTAAAGAAATCTGTTTAAATAATGACAGAAGTAAATTAACGAATACGAACATATTTTTAAAGGCCGCCAATATTTTTATAGGCCGTTAAATATAAAGGAATTGTTTCAGAACAGACCCCATTAACCACATGTTAAAATAAAAATAAAAGAGAACAAAAATGTTATTATACCTTTTGCTAATAATATTAAGAAATGATTCTCGAATTCCATGGAGGTGCAGCAGTTGATAGAGCCGATCAAACTTAATTTATTTATGTACTGGTAGTTTATATTACAAAAAAACATATGGTTTTCAGTTAAAATGTGTTTTAGTTTGTCTTCAGCTCTATTTAGGTATAATTCAAAAATAAATAACAGTAAAGTAAGTAATTACCAAATTTCGCCGAATCGACATTTTTATCTTTAATTTGCATTTTTGTTAGATATTATTTCATAAATAATAAATACGAATAATTAAAATAAGTAAAACTTATTTAAAATTAAGTACAATAGTATTTCCTGTTATTTATTTAACAATAAACAAGTTTATTTTTATTATTTTCATAAAATCCCCATAAGTCATGTTTTATAGATCACTTGGAACGTCAGCGCCCTGCGGTGAATGCTGAGAGCTCGTTCGAACTGATTGGCTACGTTCAGCAGAAAACATATGATCGGAATCTGTTTCAGATCAATTTGCAACGGTTTTAAAAGGCATTTCTTTATAAGCTTACCAGAACATACTTCTGTAACCAGAGCATTTCTTTATAACGTTTGGTTACTCTGCTTTGGTTACATGTTACCAAAGCATATGTAGCTACATCTAACGAGGCATTTCTTTATAAGCTTACCATAACTTACTAGAACATAATTATGTAACCAAAGCAATTCTTTAAACGGTTTGGTTACTTCCATGACGTCATACGTTACCAAAATACGTAACTACTACTAACCATGATGTTTTTAGTGGTAAGGTGTGTGGTAAGGTCAGTAAGGTCCACATTTAAACATATCGAGCATGCGCAAAGTATTGTAAAGATTTTAAATTAGATACATTTTTCTGTGGTTACGGGTTATATGGTTCATTTTGTATATTTGGGTTGGGCATTTTTGTATTTACCAAAGAAAACTCTATTTACTATAGGGGCGTTTGATTTGAAACTCGATCGAGCGAGCGTCGAGGAGACCGATAAGTGATGACGTCACAATAGAGCATTGAATCAAATCAAATAAAACAGAGTAAAAAACATAACCTCGCTTTTTGTGATACTTGTTTCTGGTTTGTATGTTAAAATAGTGAGCAAAAAGTAAAGAAAATGGAAAAACTTTTAATAATAAGGGGTAATGGCCCTGAAATGCAGCATTTACCACAAATGCCCGCTTTGCTCTCCTACTCCATGACTGTAATTACTGGTGATTAGATCTGGACAGAAAAAATGTATTTTCCAAACACACATTTTGTGTTTTTTTATGATGAATAATTTTAGCTATAAGACAAAAGCGGCTAAGTAATTTGTTGACTTCTTGTCTGGTCTTTAATTTTGAGATTCAAATTTGTTTGTAAGTTAATTAAAAAGAGATAGGTAGAGACAAAGACAAATTTCTCCCTCTTCTCGATCTTTCTGTTCTGAGAACATCGAGCTCGCTCTATGTTCTCGCTCCAAAGCGAAACAAACACTTTAGGGATCTCTCGGAGTGTCAATTCAAACACTTTTGAAGCGCTCGGAGATCTCCGATGATCAAATCAAACGCACCATTGAATGAAATTACATTTGAAATACAGGGCACTGAAATAACTCTTCACGAGAGCGATGTTGATGACCACTGGATACTGTTATTTATATTGAAATATAAAGATGAAAATATGAGACTACTGGCACAAGTATTTATCATTGTTATTTCATCACAAATAACACATATTAATTTTTTGGTAATGTTGTAGTTGAAGGGTCTGGAAATGCGCCAGTCCGCACCATTGCTGTTCCGGCTAGTTCTGTCAGTTGGAATCCTTACATAGTTGCCAGGTTATATTTAATTATTTGGAACCAGGGAATAAGCAGATTGAAATAACTATTTTACTTTTAATCATCTATTTACCAATTTTTACATCGATTAAAAATCCCATAAAAATAAAAAAATTCTAAAGATTTTCAAGTAATACGATCGTTATTTTTAATGTCAATAATACCTTTTAATAGTGATAATTACAAAATTTAAATTTAAAATCTATCAAAACTGTCTTATAAAACAAAACAGAATTGTTATTTCAAAATATAATATAAATCTTTATATTTATTTATCATACATTTTAATTTACAGAGGTTACAATTTGTCTAAATAATAAACTATGAAATAAAGCAAGCTAAAATGAAAGTGGAGATTTGGCAACGTGGCTTGAGCAAATTCAAATTCTGGACGTCAGTGCAGAGTAGTGTGAATATGCGCATTTCTAGACCCGTCAACTACAACATTACCAATTTTTTTTCTTTCTTTTGTTGGAGAAGACATATTTAAGTAAATAACAAAAGAACGAAAACCAAATGACGTCTGTGACAAAAACACTTTTATTTATCTGAACAAAAACAAAGTAAACAAATCCCCAATTTGACATGTGACAACGACAAGAGCTACGAGTTACCACGGTATGTCTGACGTCATCAGAGTAACCACAACGCTGTTACGAAGTATGTCGTGGTAAGCTTATAAAGAAATGCCTTTATTTATAAGCTTACTAGAACATACTATAATAAAAAATAACAAAGTCAAAACATCCTAAAATTTCTAAAATACAAATTTCGTTTAGAAATCCCCAAACTTAAATTAAATTTGACATATGACATTCAATAATAGGGAAACCATGGTATGCGTAATGTCACCACAGTAACCACAATTAGGCATTCCAAACTTAATGGCTACCAGTGGGTTCTGACGGGTTATGATATGGCAAAATTATGGCAACCCTGTAGGCCTGGTGATTTGACAAGGTCAATGAAATAGATAGTTACATAGATTGATCATCCATATTTTTCAAAATAAACATAAGCTTATGCCTTGAAGTAAAAATGTAAGCAATTATTTTTTTTTAAATATCTAAAGGCTAAAAATTGGTTTTAAAATACATTTTTGCTAAACCGATTCAAATTAATAAAATATTTGCTAGGCAATATGGCCGCTCGTAGACCAGCTTTGAGCAATCTATATAACTATATATGCATCATTGACCCTGTCAATGACAACATGACAACAGGGTTGCCATATCTAAACTGTCATTACCCACTGGTAGCCATTTGGACAGGTCGTTGGAATGCCTAATACTGTAACCAAGTATGTTGTAGTAAGCTTATAAAGAAATGCCTAAAGTCTGCTGAACAGTATTTTTTGCGTTTTTAGCAAGAAACTGTAGTGACATTTGTCATTTATTAAAATTAAAGTCAACTAACCTCCAAACTTCAAATTTATGATTTTATTTTATCCATTTTATCTGTGGATCGTGTTTAAATTAAAAAGTAAAATATTGCTGCGTTTGAGAATCCACATCGGATGCATCTGAGATGTAAAAAATCTTTGATCACGTGGTTCAGTATACGTAAATGTAATGGGACAGATGTGTCCGATGTGGATAAAAAAACGCTCGAGATGTAAAAAATGCATCCGATGTGGATTCTCAAACGCAGCATACAAAAGGGTACTGTGCATAATAACAAAAGCAACTATTGTAAAGAAAGACTGAGTGACACAATAAAAGGCAATATTTTAATGCGCCCTTCACAATGATATTTTAAATATATTATTGTAAAATTGACGAAACCTTCATTCACTACCAGATGCTTTTCTTCAGCAGTCACCTGAACTTTGAAAGTTTGATTGAGATCTAGGTCAGATAACCCTAGAACTTCCATTAGACCATTTAAAATAACGGTAAAAGGTCGAGAAACGCCGCTCTTGACGAGACCACTTGTCCCCTACGTATTTTGGGGCGCTGATTACGAAAATGAGGGTTAAAACTGGCAGGAATGGTTGGAACACACCTAAAATTACAAAAAACACCCATAAATAAGGGTGTTTTTCGACTGTACTTGTTGTGTACAGTCGAAAAACACCCCTATGTAGGGGTGTTTTTTGCAATTTAAGGGGTGGTTCAACCATTGCTGCAAGTTTTAATCCCGATTTTCGTAATAAGCGCCCCAAAAACATATAAGATGACTTAGTTTGCAAAACAACAAGTACAGTCGAAAAACACCCATATTTAGGGGTATTGTTTGCAATTTTAGGGGTGTTCCAACCATTGCTGCCAGTTTTAACCCTCATTTTTGTAATCAGCGCCCGAAAATACGTAGGGGACAAGTGGTCTCGTCAAGAGCGGCGTTTCTCGACCTTTTACCGGACTACATGTTTTAAATCGGCACTCTTGTCTTTAATCTATTTTTAAATTGCTCTTAACCTCAAAAACAGAATACGCAACATGTTTACTGGAAAGGTAGCATAAATTAAATGCGCTCCAAAAAATAGCGACTGATCCGACAACTGTTTCGTGCAACGTTGAGAAAAGTTGTCGTTCAGCAGAAAATAAGTAAACCGTTGCGTCTGCTGAACGTAGCCATTTGGGATCGAATCACGATCGAATCGAGCCTGCCGATTCGTCTCTTCATAGAGTAAAAATAGTTGGCAATCCTTTTAACTGCCTGCCATTTTTATCTTCGTTTTGTGCTGGATTGTCTCTGGTTTTGTTCTTGCTGTCTTCTTGTTATGTCTTTGGTTCTGTGCTGTGTTAAACAACAACATAAACAACCATGTTCTTCTAAACCAAATTTATAATTTACACTATAAAATTGTTAATTTGAAAGTCAAATAAAGGGATTATTTTTGTATTTCATTTAGAAAATGGAAGACACTAAAGACACAGTTTTATTAGATATGAGAAGTAATGAACTTACAGAATTAGTCAGTATTAATGAAATATGTAGATTATGTGCCAACCAAAACAAAAAATTAATGGGAATTTATAGTGCTGAAGGAGAAAATAACGATTTAGCCACAAAAATGAATTCGTACCTGCCAATAAAAGTGGATAAGACTGATAACTTACCACTTCAGTGCTGTTGGCAATGTGCTTCAACCATTCTTGCTTGGCATGAATTATTTGTAACCAGTATAGAAGCTGATCGACGGTTAAGAAGTTATCAGCTTGTTTCTGAAAAGCAGCACCAGACCACCGTTGATACAAATTTACCACAAATTGAGTAAGTAGTTTTTTTTACATTAAAAACATCTTAAGTCTGCATATAAATTGTGTTCAAGAAACTTAAAATAAAATAGTTTTATTTGTTTTTATACCTAGATAACCATTAAAGCTGAAAAGAAAATGAAACAGTTTACTGTAAAGTACCTATTAAATTAATGCCTAAAATGCTTTCAATTTGACTTATATTGATTGATAATAATAGATATCCATCCCAGTATCCATCCCTATTTGCAAACCACTTTTATATTCCTGGTAAATCCTTAAAGATAGTAACTAGAAACGTCAGTTGGGAAGAGAAGTAGAGATTTGTTGAGATTTTTCAATACACTGAACTATTACTATCCTCAAATCATTAGCAAATTAAATATTCTTAAATACCTTTGTAAAAAATATCTATGAAAGAGATAGAACATGTCAACAATGTCAGCTTACTGATATTTTTAAATATCAGTAAATAAATATTGCTCAATTAGAGATTCATTAAAGTTTACCCATCTGTAATGTAGAGGTAGATTTAGAAATTGTTTGTTAATTAGACGGATCTAGTATTACAAAATTAAACATCCTAACATCACTTTGTTACAATTTTTGTTAACATTCCATTAAAAAAGAATGGACTTAAACAGTATCTTGAGACAGCATTAGGCAAGTTCTTTTATTCAGTGCTGTATCCAGTGCTTGCAGCAAACCGTTCATAAATTAAGCAATGGAAAGACAATTATGTGTCAATTGTTCTTTTTTACAATGATGAGTTCACCAATGAGCCAACTCATCCATCAGCTTTAAAAGCTGATGGATGTGATGGATGAATGAAAGGGATAGTTAATTTGTTTGAATGTTAGAACACAGTTCTTTAGATAAAAGTTAACCTACAATATAAGAGTTTAAAAGGTGACATATCACTTTAGTGTCACAAAATTACAGGTTTGACATATGTTTTAAATAAAAATGCAGATAGGTATTTCTTGATTTTTGAAAAAAAATAAAAAATTCCTTATATAGTCAACATTTAAAAATATAGCCTTTCCAAGTTGGAACTATTTTTTATTGTGGATGTTGAAAACTACTTTGTATTGATAGAAGCGTAGTTATTTTGATTCGTGGATGCTCTTTATTGTGAGGTTGTCAAAAATTTGATTTTGTGTTTTTATGTTTTAAATAGGTTTTAAGTGTTTTTTGGATTATTTATTAAAGACTATTTATGTGGTATCAAATATATAGCGCAGTTACTAATTTACATTTACCAACATTTGTGAGCATATTGCAGAAAAATGTTTTAAATCAATAAATATTCCTAAATTTTATGTTGTGTTTATTGCAACAATCAATACTCAAGCAACTTAGGTTTGTTTGGTAGAAGTAGCGATATTAAGCTGAGAAGAAAGAATGTATATTTTTTGATCTGTGTCAGTTGGCCGGGAAGCAGATTTTTTAAAAATTATGTTTTAATTTTAGGCGACATTCCATTCCTGATTTAATCTTAAATATAAATAGCAGGGAATAGAATAGCAAATATTTTTTAACAGGCAACCACTGAAGCACATTCAACATGGAATTGATTGATTCCAATCTCGAACAGCTTAGTATTATCCACATCATACCTCTATTCTGCAACTTTTGCAATCGTTACAACTCATTCTGGTTGAGCAACTACAATATAGTGGCACAATAAATAAAATGAGGTTATATTAGAGTATTATAAATTATAATTTTAGCCCATTTGCTGAGATGGGGAGAACAGCGCCTCAAATAGTTTATTTTAAATGATATGCTTTTGATGACGTTATTAGAATTTTCCTTAAATTGTAAATTTGTATCAACCATAATCCCTAGATATTTAAATTTTTCAACTCTGCGAAACTTTATTCCATCAACAGAAACACACTGCGATGCTACATTTAATTTTTGTAAATTTCCAGTACCCTCCACTTTGTCTTTTCGTAATTTATTTTAAACGAATTTCCATTACAATAATCATATATTTTACTTATAGAACTATTAATTTCTTTAAAACAAGTTTCAGTGTTTTTATGGGTAAAATATATCAATGTATCATCTGCAAATAAGTGTATTGAGCATCTTTCGACTACACCAGCAATGTCATTAATATAACTTAAAAACAGTAGCGGACCTAGAACACTACCCTGTGGCACCCCCATATTATTCTCTATAGTATCTGAAACACAATTACTTACCTTAACCTTCTGTTTCCTATTTTCCATATAATGACCCAACCAGACCAGTGCCCAACCCCTCAAACCAATAGCTCTTAATTTCATTAATAATCTACCCCTATTAAGAGTCTCAATTGCCCTCTGTAAATCTAAAAACACCGCCAGTTTAACCAAATTATTTTCAATTGATAACTTCCAGTCATGCAACACCAACTGTAAAGCAGTTTCACAGTTGTGTTTACTACGGAATCCTGATTGCATATTACTTATCAAACTGTTCCCCTCTAAATAATCAATAATTTGAAGATATATTTCTTTTCTATTAGTCTAATCAAATTTATCAGTCTTACTTGGATCAGCCTTATTTGGATTTGAAATTTTTGGTATCGGAAGTATTGTAGCAATCTTAATATCGTCCGGAACTAAGCTTGTTTCAATAGAAAAATTTATAATATATAATAGAAGTTGGGATAAACTCTCAAAACATTCTTTTAATAAAATTGTGGATATTTCGTCTGGACTATTTTTTATTTGACATTGAAAATAATATTTCTTTAAATTCATTATAATTAATCAGTGACCTCATGACATCAATCACAGATGGTTTAATAAAATAACATACTTATTCCTAAAATTTTGTAGATCTGGCATATCATTTCTAGTTTACACTCAAAATTATTTAATCAAATCTTAGAAATGACATTATAATGAATGTCAAATAGAGTTGGGCAATAGTAATCCATGAACTGTTATTTTATTCTTGGTAAATGACATTCAGCATGTTTTTCTATTGATTTGTTAAGCTTTGTCCAGAAAAATATTAACAAATATTTAATTTGTTAACAATTTGAGAAAACAACTTTATTTACATATTTTACGAATCACAATAACTATTCAGTGTCTGATTGAAAAATCATGCCATTGTTCAACTCTACTTTTTTCTGAATTCACATTTCTCTCTTTATGGATTTACACACAGATAACTATTTAAAAATGCTTTGTAAATATAGGTATATGAGTCACACGTTTTTAGCATATCTGACTATATATATTATTGATAAAGCATCGAGCCTTTCCTGCAGCATCGTCGTTCTTTTTTAATTTTTTATTATTTTAATTTCGAAAAAGATCGTTCCGTTGTGCAGTTCGATATCATCAGGCATAAAAATGTACTCAGGGATGTGTCCACATTAGAGGACGCCGATTAAATTTTATCATCGCGTATTATTTTGTGCAATAAAATTGTGGGTGAGTTTAAAGTGTACTTGTGTGAGGCAACTCACTGGAACTAATTTTTTTATATGACATTGTAATGAAACTGTTGAATTCGGTTCCTAAATCGGTATTAAGGTCTTATGGATGTGTATACTAAATTTCTACAATGCTGACTGTATTCTGAAGTTTAATCAGGACACTTAATTTTATCGACATCAGGTATTTTAATCAGAAATGAGAATTTGTCTGCTATTTCTTTGTAAATCTCTCCCCTTCTTCGCATCTCTATATTTAATTTACAATGACTCCAACTCATGATTTAAAATTGTTCTCTAGTCAATTTAAAACGCGAGGGTTTTCAAACAACCTTATCTCTAATGTGCTTGCAAATATTTTCTTTTTGGTGCTGTTTCTGGTGCCCCTCCCCAAGGCGTGATGCCCTAAGCAATTTCTTAATTTGCTTATGGGTTAATCCAGCACTGTAGTATATTAATATTGAGCTTTTCCAATGTGTAATTCCCGCATTTGTATTTAATTTTCGTGTCTGGAATTGGTTAATCTTCTACAGCTTATCTCCATCCTAATTTTGGCCTATAGTACTTGTTCTTCAGCTTGTTATATGTCCCACCTTTATTAACATTATACAATACTTATTGCTTTCATTAGGGTCTATTCTGTAACAATTCCTTTATATTTAACGGCCTTTAAAAATATTTTCTTCTTTACTTCTGTCATTATTTAAACGGATCTTTAAAATACATTAGAGGACTATCTTAAAGAAATCTGTTTATATAATGACAGAAGTAAATTAACGAATACGAACATATTTTTAAAGGCCGCCAATATTTTTAAAGGCCGTTAAATATAAAGGAATTGTTACAGAATAGACCCCATTATCCTTTAAATGCTGGATGGTTGCTACAAACGTATCACAGTAAGCCCATAATTAGGAACAAGCTTCCAAATTAAAGAATCTGCTTGAGGAGAATTTTCTCCAGTAGCTACATACAATGAAACAATATCTGTCAGTACAGTGTTAATAAATTGTGGCATAATAGAAGTGTAAATAATATGTGTACACGAAAGTTGTATGAACAATATTTGGCAACAACGCTAAAGATCGTGTGTTAGCTGCTTGATTGTCATAACTATGTCAGAATTGGTGACCTCTTCAATTATAGATCTTTTACACCGTACACTATTGAGATCTCATAAACCATAAGCATACGAGAGTGTTTATGGAGGATAATATTTTCCTAAACTAATTTAGTTATGTTGAAACTAATAATAAAGATATTTAGTACAAATCAAAATTGTTGATTTTGGTTTCTTTATTGCGAATTGTGACACATTTATTAAAAAATCTTATTAAGGTTTTTGTATTCAAATTCAATATCGCTTAATTTATAAGTTTCATATGTGCAGGCCCTCTTTCAACTTATCATACATGGACCAGTACTTTCTATTTTTGTTTTTGCTATTCTTGGGATATAGGTGTTTCAAATAAAACTACAGTTTAATAATTATGATTTGTAAAACTTTCAGCCTCTGAAATGGCATTTTATTGGTTTTTATAAACTACTTTATAGATTAAGTACCTACAGTTTTTGTAATTTTTGTTCTTACGAAACGCTCGTTTCTATATTTTATTACTTAAATACTTAGTCGTTTTGAAAATGTAAAAAGAATTTATCGATTTATCAACAATTACATTTTGATTTTTTAATATCTCAGAAATTGTGCTTGATATTATTAAATCTAAAACTTGGCATCCTCCTATTTCTTATGATTATTAATAGTCCAGGATTCGTAAGTAAGATCGACCTTCACTCATCTGTTTAATGGATAAATGTTTTTTTTTATTAAATAAAATATGTTTTTAAATATACCGCAAATGGGTTGCCTAATAAAATATGGTCAGGGTCATTTTTTACTTTCCTTTTTGTGTACAGATAAGGACAGTATAGAAATCATGATAAAAGTTGCTTATGATGTCATTCTTTATTATTTTGTCCCTATACATGATTTCCCTAAAATTGACTTAATTCGAGATATTTGAGGAAAAGTGAAAATTTCGATTTCCAAAACGGATGAAGAGAAAAACACCAAATTTTAAATTTAAGTTTTAATCCATCCTGCGGTGAGCTGATGAGAGTTTGGGCATAGTCGAAGCATCTGGGGAATACTTTACAGGGTGTCGTTTTTTGTTACTTTAAGAAAATAAATAGCCTGGACCGTATTTTCTTAGGCAACCCATTTGCGGTATATTTATAAACATATTTTATTTATTAAAAATAAACTTTCATCCATTAAACAGATGGGTGAAGGTCGACCTTACTTCGGATCTTAGACCATAACTCAATTGTGTACATTTAAATGTTCACCATCTTGTACCATTTAGAAATTTTTACTTATTTGAAGTAAAAAAAAAACTAAAATGAAAATTATGTAATAAAAAATGTTGCATACAGTGAGGTGTTTTAATTAAATCTACAGTATTATAAAATATTTTAACAAAATTTCATCATCTTCCCACACTCTTTGCTGAAGTCTAAATTTTGTCCACAGGGAGGAAAATGAAGAATGCAAGTTGCAATTATTGGATCAAAACCAATCTGTGTTAGTAGAAAGGACTGATATGGAGTATACTGACAATTATGGAGAATACATTTCACTTCAACAAGAATATCTTCCACTTGATGCCATTTATGAAACTCACACTAAATCAGAGATTGAAATAAGTGACGCGATAACTTCAGAAAATATTATTATTGAGCACAAAATATTTGAAAATGATAATGACGATGTTGGTAGTGATGATGAAGATGATAATGTTGACATTGACGATCCTTCACCCAAACAAGAAACTGAAGAAATCTGTTATGGATGTCAGATGTGCCAAATGGTATTTTTTACAGCAGAAAAGATGTATCAGCATTATACTGAAAACCACCCAGATCAGAAACTGAAAGATGATTTAAATAAAGGTAAAAGTATAGAAAAAATAGAAAAAAAAGCTCGGAAAAAGAACTCTAAGATCAATCAAGAAATGGTTAATGAAGCAAAAATAGTTGTGGATGGAAAAGTATACTATAATTGCAAAGAGTGTGGAAGATGTCTTTACTCTCCTTACACTTACATCTGGCACATGAGGATACATACAGGGGAACGGCCCCACACCTGCCACCGATGTGGGAAGTGTTTCAGGGTATCCCAAGGACTAGTTAGGCATCTAAAAGAAACCCATGATGGAATCAAAACGTTTCCTTGTGACCTATGTGGGAGAATGTTTGGAACAAGAAGGAATGCTGAAGAACATAGAAGAATCCATACAAATGAAAGACCTTATGTGTGTGATTTATGTGGGAAATCATTTAAGCAAAAAGCATCACTTTACGTTCATAATCGATCACATATGGACGTTTTTCCGTTTAAATGTTCATATTGTGATCAATATTTTAGGACAAAACCACCCATGTTGGTACACATAACGAAACATACTGGTGAAAAACCTTACGCATGTGATATTTGTGGTCGTAGGTTTAGAATAAAATATGAACTGAAAAGACATAGACTGATACATTCAGACGAAAAACCCTGGGCGTGTGAATTGTGTGGATTAAGGTTTAAGCAAAAGCGGTATTTAAAGAACCATAATAAATTGAACCATACTGTGAGTTGATAGATAACAATTGCTTTTAATATAATTTTTTTACAATAACTTTTGTTTTCCTTATTTGCCTTACACCTGTTGTACCTGTTTATCGGCTCAGCAGTATTGCTTGTCTAGAGTCATGTTACCTGAAATCCATAGAAAACAACAGTAGTCCAAATTTCACATCAGACTATGAATTTTTCTTTAATTTGTATGGTTCGTTGTAGGATTTGTATTAGTGAATTATCGTGTCGATTATGTAGATTAGGGTCTTTCTCATCTGTACGTCAAATGACACGCACCATCAATCATCTGTAAGGCGCATTGGAGAACCATGATAAATAATAATAGTCATCACTTCTCCACAAACATTTTTTTTTAGATGAGTGAATTGTACAGTAAGGTGAAATTGAAGAGTGTGGCTGAGTTAGATGAATTTGCAGCAGGCGTGAAAAGTTCTAATCTTTTATCAACATTACCCTAAAACTTTTGCATTAGGAACATGTTATATACATTTTCTTCTTCACATTTGCAGCTTATTTGTGAGTAAATTTAAACTAGTATGAGATTTTTACCGTATTTTATTCGCCTTTTTTTTTTCTTTTTGTTGGACTGGCAATGCGAAGCAATATTTTTGACGGATTTTGCAATATTTGGTCTTTAAATACACTCATCTATCCGAGGTGTTTTTTGTCCATATGTGATAATTAAAATACCACTTATCGTAAAAATTACAGTCAGGATAGACTTTATTATAGTTTTGGCTTTGCCAAAATTAATAAAAGCTTTCTGTTCATAGTTGTACAATGTCTTCTCACTTGAAATAGAGAGGAATGCCGTGTCTATCTTATAGTCTAGAGAAGAAAGGAGTACAGTAATTTAATTTGCAGAACGCAGTACAGGTTCAATAGGTAGACATTTCATTTATACCTCATTCTTCAATGCTTATTTGTAGTTAAAATGAAAATACATCTGATCAACCTAATAAAAGTTTTCGTTTAGATTTAATCATGTTTTCATGGTTTTTACCGCAATAAACCTTTTCTTTTGACAGATAAGTCAGACTTTATTCATAGTCGTATCGTATGTATTTTAATTGATTCTGAATTTTGTATTAGTATATATTATAATTTTACAGTTATATAAGTATGGCGAGTGCATTAGAAAATACTGCAAGCACAAGTAAGGGTAAACTACCTAGTGGACAAAGTAGAAGCGTAAAGTTTATTTTTTGTAAATAATATAATTTTTTCATTCAAGTTTAATCTATGAAATGAGTGTAAATATACCATTTTATGTGCCGTGATCTTATTTATATTATAGAAACTTATTTTGCAAAGTACGCCTATGGAATGTGACGTTATATCCCCACTTTTACTGCACCTCTCTTTTATTCAGATTAGTACCATAGAACTACATTTTTTGTAATATAAATAAATCAGGGGCGTGAAGACTGAGACTAAGAGCTGTTGTTTTAGTGTATTTTTGAAAATATTAAGAGAGTTTAAGGTGATTACAGCACCCCCTTATAATTTTCGGACAAGCATATCTCAAAAAGTAATTTTTTTTTTAAATTAAAATTTTGGAAAAATGAATTAGGCAATAATATCTAGAATATGCTTATATTTTAAAGTTTTAATTATTTCCGGTTTCCAAGAAAAAAAAATCAAAGGGCTTTAAATTTTGAAATATCATAATGAAAATAAATGCGTTCCTCAACAGCAGTATTCTTAATATAATCCCCAAATTTAAGCTCTTAATCTGTTGTAATTGATTTTTTAAAATTCGCCGAAATTAGTGGCTAAAACGCCTCGTTAAATGCTGCTTTCTGGTGTAACGCGTCTGTAACTATCATATCGTACACTATGAGTCATCATTCGTTTCCTGCAACGATTTACACTAGTTTACACCAGAAAATAGCACTTAGCGAGACGTTTCAGCCACTAATTTCGGCGAATTTTAAAAAATCATTAACAAGAGATTAAGAGCTTAAATTTGGGGATTATATTAAGAATAGTGCTGTTGAGGAATGCATTTATTTTCATTATGATATTTTAAAATTTAAAGCCCTTTGATTTTTTTTCTCGGAAACTCAAAGGAATTAAAAATTTAAAATATATGCACATTCTAGGTATTATTGCCTAATATATTTTTCCAAAATTTTAATTTTTAAAAAAAATTACTTTTTGAGATATCCTTGTCCGAAAATTATAAGGGGGTGCTGTAATCACCTTAAATTCTTTATAAATGTGTTTAGGTTATTTACAGAACAACAGCATTGTAGGAAAAGCTGACATTTTTGTGTTGTAGAAGGTATATCGTATGTGTAAGATTATTCTGAAAAATTGTATCTGAAATTCTTAACCAAAAAAAAACGTTATATTTCTTTATAGTAAACAATGTTTATTATTTGTCCAAATAATTTGAAACGAACGAAAATATTGTAGGTGTGCCTAGTAATGTTCGGCAGAATTTCGTAACAAGTCACGTGGTAAAGTTATTTGTCACTTACGATAGACATGTTTACTTATGTGTTTATCTATGTGTCTAGTGATGGTGGCCTGAAAAAGTAAAAGCACGTAAGTAACAATTTTTTTTTTCATTTTGCTGATTTAGGTACAAAATTTGCTTTATTAACCGTTGTTCATTATTTTATTGTATTAAAATACACTTTTATATGTTACAGTGTTAGGAATTTAATAAATGATGCTAATACAGTACGACAAGATTAAGATGGCAAGTCAGAACTAGATACACACTGCCAAAAATTTAAAATAGAAACATTTGGCAACACTGCACAAGTGAACACAAATAGATCACTGAAATAATAGCATCGAAGTTCATCCATTAACTGAGATAACTCCTCCCATTTTTAGATTTGCCAGTGTGCATCTAATTCTGACTTGCCATCTCAACATTATCGTACTGTAATTACTTAATCCATTAGGAAATGTTATACTTCAACAGAGCTTTTCAACTTTTACTAGTAAATCTTAGAAATGATAATAAAAACAACATTTATTTAAACATTTATTGATAGTAGATAGTAAAAGTAATTTTCATATTTTCAAACCTTTATTTAATTTTTTATATAAATAAAAATTTCCTTGGTTTATTCGGTCATATTGTTTTTATTTTATATAATTTAAGCACAAGCACATATGTTTCGGAACTTTTTTCCATCTTCTGGTGCAGTCAAAATTTAATAAAACATGGGGGACGATTACTTCTGTTTCACAGCGTGTGAAGGTGTATTTCAAATAATCATTATTATAAGCTCACTTTCTTAAATTCTCTTCTTTTCTGGGCACAAAAGTTCTGCAACGTCTATTAGACACTCTTTAACAAACTGTGCCTCAGAAAATGACTTCGATGTTTTCGCTATTATAAAACTAGCTTTAAAAACACTGTCTAGACTTCTTCTTTGGGAGTGGATCATTTGTTACCGTTTCCCTACATCGGTAATGGGTTTTGTAATTTTACCCTTTCTTAACTGGCCCATGAGTGAATTATATTGAGCAAAATGCTTGCTGGAGTAATGCCGCTTCATATTGTATTATTTTAAAGCAGAAATTGTTTAATTGCACAACAAACACATAGGTTTTCCAATGTGCAAGATAAAAAAGTATTCATCAGTCCATTTGTCTTGGAATTGACGACATTCTCTGTCCACTTTCCGCTTTTTTGAACCAAACATATTTTTGCTTGATCAGTTTTTAGGAAGTAATGAGGTGACGCGCACTGAGCGGTTTATATATTACCCCCAATAAGCAACTAGAATATTCTCGATCGTACGCAAGCGCATCGGGCGGCTTTCCGAGTGTTTATCTGTTTGTTTCTTTCTAACGACTATTTATGACACGATATGTGGCATTCCACTTCGCACGCTTAATAATATTAATTGATTTTAGTCATTATGAGTTGAAGAGTACAGTGGCGTTCCACTGCGTACGCTTAATACAATTATAAATAAACTGTGTGCTAACTCTGTAATTTTTTTTGCGTATTATTTTAATTTTCTGAATCTCTCGCGGGTCGAATTGAAGCTGGTGGAGGGCCGGATGCGACCCGGGGGTTGCCCACATATGACTTAAATTATAGAAAATAAGAACAAAATAACCGAATAAACCAAGGAAAAATTTTTATTCATATAAAATTCTACTACGGTCAGGAAATTATCCTTATTTCGTTTTGTTATTGTATATATCTGTACATAAAATAATGCATATTATTCAAAAATAAATCAGTATCTTATTTAAAATTAGATAACAACAAGTGCATGAAAAATATTTGAAACATAAAACACTGAACTGGTTCAGTGGCCTCTCTCGTCTCGTCTCGTAGGGCGAGAAAAAACTATTCTCTCGTCTCGACGAGAAGGCGCTTCTCTCGCTCGAGAGAGCTTTTCTCTCGTCTCGTTTCTCTCGTAATAAAACAATATCAAATTTAAATTTGAACAGTGGCGGCTTGTGGGCACTAGCGGTAGTGGGGCACACACTGGAAAGGAATCCCCGGATTCGTTTTTCCCTTAGGAAAACAAGTTCTCCGCTTAATGAAAATTAAATATATTTCAAAACAATCAGTTGGGGCAAAAACGATTTCTGAATGTGACTACAGGGAGCTAAATGTGATCACTCAAAATGCATTTACTATGTATGTGGCTATTTAATCAAAAAATCATTACATATCCACTCTTGCGAAATTTGCGTAAATTTCTCAGAAGAATGCAATTTACTTAACAATTCTAACTTGTTTTAAAGCATACGACTCTGAAGAAAAGGTGTTTGGCAATTTAAAATCTCCCAGCGAAAAATTTCTCTGTTATATTTTCAAATTAGAAAAAATATTTATATCTTTTTTTTGATAGTTTGTCAACTAAGCCTGGAATTTCCAACGCATACCTTTTTGAGATGAACAAAATAGAATTTGGTCATCCTTGCCAACAATTTGCGAAAATGTACACCATTAAACTATTTATAAGATTCAGAATTTTTTATACTCTTAAATATGCAAACAGAAATTTAAAATCCTCGAAAAAGACAAAACCAAAAGAAAAATTAAAATTT